GTTTTTTGCAACCTAACACCTTGACAAAAAATTCACTTCAGGATCCATTTTTTTCTGCATCCTATGGAAAGCTCAGTTAAAGATTGCTTTGACTCAAACTACACTAATCTCATTACTACAACAATTATAATGCTTCAAACGGCACAATTAAACATTTAATTCGTTTATTGCACTCCATATACCGCAATAAATTTATTTGCGACAATAAATCACAATCATAGCACATTATCTACAGGTGTAAATGCCAAATAAGCTGTCCATCAGCGCCATAAGCTGTTGAATATTTGCTATTGACCATTGTCCATGTATTGTTCTGTCGCAACTATGTTCATTAAATTCTGCGTTCCATAATTTCCCTGAAATTGTATTTTTTATATCACATAAGTTTTTATTTTCGCATGCACTACTTCCTCACCTGAAATTTTTTTTTCCTCAGTCCCAGGTGAAGGGGGGGGGGGGTAGCCCGGCCTCGAAAGTGAAGGGGGGGTGAGCATTTGCTCACCCCATCGCACCTATGCGCTTTGTGCTTGTGGAACGAGAGCACCGGCCACACTTCGCCTAAAAGCGCTCAAAAGCGCCCAAAATGCTCAAATTGCTCTAATTACTCCTCACCTGTATCAAGGTAGAAAACAGGAAGAAGAATAAGCAAGGAAAATGATGAAGGAATGAAAAATATCAAAGGAACGCAGGCATGGGGTTGTTTCATACTGCCGCACTGACTGCAGCTGACTGCACTGACCGCAGCAGAGTGCAGCAGACTGCAGTGACCGCACTGACTGCAGCAGACTGCGGCAGACTGCAGCTGACCGCACTGATCGCAACGACCGCACAGATTGCTGCATCCTTTCTTAAAAGAGAAAACAAATGCGATTACGTCAAAACACCGTGATTTACGCCTAGGAAGTTCATACGTCCTGACTTAATCTTCTCAATCAGATTTTGGCGGTTGTTTTTCTTTGGTATACTCGTATTTGTTCTTATTCCTCATTTATTGCGTATACCTGTTTTACTCTCGCTCATGTTGCCTTTTGGGTTAGGCATATATTGTTGTTGATTGTTTGGGCTACAACTATTTATCCTCTCCATCTTTACGAAGGATGCAGCGATTTGTGCGGCCCTTGCGGTCAGTGCGGTCATGCAGTCTGCTGCAGTCTGCAGCAGTCAGTGCGGTCAGATGCCGTCAGCTGCGTCTGCTGCAGTCTGCTGCGGTCAGTGCGGCAGTCTGAAACAACCCAAAGGACTGAGAGACGCCGTTCCCGCGCGTATCGATTGACTGGGGCGCGCTTTCCATCTTAGAAAGCTAGGCTGCTGATGCGATTTTGGGCTTTAACAAAGACAAGAGGAGGAGTTTCGGAACCAAAATCTCACCATATAGTAAACTTTAGGTGAACAACAGATTTATGTAAAAATTTTGAAAAAAATTATGTGAACTGAGAGTTTTGCCGACCTCAGGTGGGAATTAGGTCGGCAAATGCCGACCTAATTTGGAAATTAGTTAAGGAAACTTTTCATTCACATAAGTTTTTCATAATATTTCACACTTAGTTACTTAGTCCTACTGCGCATACACACACCGAATCCCGCGCGATTTCGTTACCTCTGCGTTGCAAACGAGCCATTTTTCCATTTCTTTGGTAGCGCAAAATTTTCAGAAAAAAGCTTGCCACAACCTTCATTCACATAATTTTTCAATAAAACTTCTGAAATAAGCCCTGCAGGCCCGTGTTCATGTATTTCATACCGTATGGTCATCTGTGCGCTGCAAACGAGCCATTTGAAATCATGTTCTCCTCATTTACCAGTTTTGCTTCTTTGTTGGAAAAAAGGCTTATTACACGTCCCATTCACAGAAGTCTTTCATAACATTTTATGCTTTGTTTCTACTACCCTCTCTTTGTTCGCTTACGTAATTTGGTGCTATATCATTACTCCTGCATTGAGAACTGATCATGTAATCATGCTGTTCAACGGCATCGCTCATGCGACGTCGCGCACGCGGCAATGCGGCAACGCGGCGTAGTGTGCGCGAAGTCTGCTGTGCGTTGAGGTTTATGAAAACTATTCTCCGATGAATTAAATGTATAGGGTAAGCATGATTCGACCTTCATTTGCTTGCACTTAGAATTCTCTTCCGGGGCTCAGCCCCGGATCCCGCAAAAACGATATCCCCTTTGCTTTTTGGCCCCAAAGCGATTTCCAGCTTGTCATTTGCTCACCTCGTGCCGGGCCCTGGCCTAAGCTCCTCCTTTTCAAATGACTCTGTAAGGCTGTGCCGCCGATATGTGTTTAGAAGATATGAGGACAATTCGAACAACAGTTGCAACGAAGTGCGGCAACGCGAACGACGCGTGCGACGTCGTAACTTTTCTTTGCTTCGAAATCAAAAAGAAAAACCGTAGCTCCAGTAGTGATGTGTATCGTGTACAACATAGATACTTTTGGATACAATTAGAAACTGAGTTCTTGTTCCTATCTTTCAGGAAAGCACAGATGTCCCTTCTCAGGCGACAAAATTCAAACACTTCGAATTCACTCAGAAGTTTGGGTATGGATCTTATCTAATATGCTGAATACAGATGTGGCACACAGTTTAGGAATTAAGGTCCCTTTGTTGGCTAACGGCTGAAAGTACCCTCTTTTTCGCCGCGCGCGATTTCGCGATCCGAAACGTGTTGACGAATATCATGTTATCCGCACATCAGCTCACCTCGATAATAACCCCTCCCTCTCTCCACCCCTCAATACGACCTTGCAGCTGTGGCATGCCACACTCCAAGCTTGACCATGCTCCAAAGATTTCGCGAGAAAAGGAACCGCCGTCCTGCCCATTACCCAAGGAATCATGAGGCACAGCGACCGTTTCGCGAGGCACAGCGAAGCGGCTGAGCTATTATTCGCATTCACTATATTCACCATTTTGCCGGTGCCGGCGCCATCGAATCGAGGCGGCGCCATTGATGCCCGGGCCGACGCGGTCGCGCGACCGCTGATGCAAACGACTCTGCAATTTAGGAGCCCTGCACTCGTGAAACTAGGGTACTTGAAATCTCGAAAGGACATGTTTGAGCTGAACAATGTATGCAGGAGCGTGCTCCAGTATCCTAGTCACAGAATGGATGATGGCATTCACTGCTTCACAAGAACGAACTCCAAACTACTTGTGTAATCTAAAAAGGCGAACTGTCACAATGGGTGGCTGAAAGCAGGACCATGATAATGTGTGAGGCCATATCCATTTGAGACCGGGAGACTCGAAAACTCCGCACACACGTCATCAACAAGCTCAAGCTTGTTACCATTGATAGAAGGCAATCTTCGAGGCACTGTGCTTATTCTACAGTCAAAACTTTAGGCCTAAGGCCTAAGGCATACCTCTCGCGATTTCGCGAAATCGCTACATCCTCGCGACTTGGCGATTTGCCAGATGTCTAGAGATTAAGCATGCGAAGCTCTCAGATGCATGGGTGCGTAGATTCTGTAAATTGTAACAAACACAGCAAGTCTGGCCCAATCAAAGTGCATTTACGACCAGCTATGGAGAGTCGTCGCAGTGCCAAATCGCGCGGTGACTAAAATCGCGTGAGGTATGCCTTAGGCCTAAGGCATACCTCACGCGATTCGGCCGAATCGCCACTTTCACACGACTTGGCGATTTGCCAGATTTCTATAAATTTATCATGCGTACTTCTCGGACGCATATTTGGGCAGCTTGTGTACAGTCGAGTAGATTTAGCGGTAAATATAGTGTGCTTGCACAGAAGGTGAAATGCGGTAAAATTTGCGCGTGAAGAAATAGCTTCGACTGTGACGCCGGCCAATTGCGCGCGCACGATGCCCGCAGCACTGGCGTGGCTACTTGTTCACGCGCAAATTTCACCGCATTTCACCTTCTGTGCAAGCACACTATATTTACCGCTAAATCTACTCGACTGTAAGTTGTTGCAAACTGAGCAAGTTCTGGCCAAAGGCAGCGCATTAACGACGAATTACGAAGAGCCGCTGTTGTGCCAAATCGCGCAGCGACCAGAATCGCGCGAGGTATTTTAGGCCTTACCAAAGTGCGCAAAAGACATGATGCATTGAACTGTTATAATTTATCCAGCGGCTAGAAGGATCGAGCATGCTTTGCAACATTTTCAAAACAGCTGAAAGGCGTGGTTGACATGTTTATTGCTGTGCTCTCATCTACGAATATTCACTTTTGCGGCTAAGAAAGAACAAGTATGAACTTGTCAGCCACACAATTAAGTTTGTTTCACAACGTGTGCAAATTCTAGTCGAGTCTCAGTCTCAATTAAATGACAGAACATTTAGCCCAAAAATGCGCACCGAATTCAGATTCCTTTTTGGATTTTTTTCCACCTTTCTCTGATTCCTTGTAAGTACAGATAATTCACATCGCCTTCGTCACATCTATCATTGGCTTTTTGTCGATATATTTAATTCGTGCTCTAAGGCTGTTAGGTTTGATCGATGCTGTTTATCTTGGAAGCTCCTTCTAGTCAATGCCGAAGGCAATTATCGATGTCCCCATTCATATTCGTTAACGTGTACATTAGAATGATGCCAATACAGATATCCCTTAAAATTTTATACAGCTCTTATCACACCCTTCTTATGCTTCCACGATCACACTGAACATTTCGTTTTCTTCCTGTACACACGTGGGAATCAGCATGTCGCTTGTCTTATAATTTTTACGAAGAAATCAAATATGATGCTTTTGCCTCACATTCTTTGCGTTGACAGATTGTTCGGTGTTCATTGCACTGAAATCATTCCGTTTCTGACGACATCTTTCTTTATGTTTGGCAACGGTGCATGAAATGGCGAGGGTCATTCTTCCTATCCAGCGACAGCTAGTCCTACTCTGTGAAGACGAAAACCGACTCAATTTATCCGTTTTTTTTCTTGAATTCTTATTTGGTTAGCTATTACTTGAAAACATGGCTTTTCGTTTGAAGTTTGCAATTCTGATTTTTCTTATTGTTTAATATTTTAGGAGAAAATGTCTTTGCATTATATGGAAGACGTCAGCTCACTCTATCCTCAGATTCCTACTTCGCTTGATGGTATGATTTCATTTCTTATTGTACTGATGTTTCTGACAAACGTGACGTTAATTAGGTAATCATTGCAAACAGAAAAACCAGAAACAAAGGAGAACAAATGTTCCGGCATTGTTCTGTGAAATAATCACAGCTCTCTTACCCGAAATTCCAACTAGGTGTTTTCAAGTCTGTATCGTCGGTTTCCATATTCGTGTGGAGGTGGTGTCTTGCCAACTCACAGCGTGGCGATCTTTGCTAGCGAGAGAGTACGAAAAGCAATGCTACAACGTGGAGGTAGGTATCGTCGTCTCCCCGGTGTACGTTGGGCGGAGCATTTGCGGACATTTGAACACGTTGGTGACTTGTTAAACCTCTCTGCAAAGCATGGTTCTTTGTACTCTCTAAACTGCCACGCATATATGCTGTTGTCATACGTGGCGGAATTGGTAACGAGAGATTACAAAGAATACTGCTTTGCAGTTGAGAATTAACAAGTTTACCAACGTGTCCAAATGTCCGCAAAAGCTCCGCCCAACGTACACCGGAGAGACGACGATAACAATTTCAGCCTTTATCAGGCAAAGCCTGCAATACACCTCCACACGAATCTGGGAGTCGATCATATATGTGATGTCAAAAAGCAACTACATATGGGAAAGTTAGGATTGCATAATCGACTACCGTATTCAAATTGCATACTTAACAGTGGTCTTTATCACAGTGGCAAAGGTACCGCTTCACAAGCCTCCCATATCTTTCCGCTGCCGTTGGCGCGCTTTTCCAAATTCCTCAAACCTTGGTGCTTCTGGGGTAGGGCAGGATGTCGCCGATAATGGGAGGTCCCGCCGAACATCTGCAACAAATACACATTCCAATATATGCACAGGTTGAGTATCTGCTGCATTGTCCGCGCAGGACCCTCCCACTCTCGGCGACATAGAGGGCCGCATGCATTAAAGGCAGTGGCTCGGCAATTCTCAACCTAGTCAGATTTTCGCTTACCTGGAGTTATTCAATATGCTGATCCCGAAAATCCACTTCTGCGAGCTTGAAAACGGCAAAAACGAGTGTTTTTCAATGCCCTTCCCTTCGGGATTGGACGAGTCGAGCAAGGCTGATGATGCTGGATCGTTGCGGCACCCAATGATTATAGCATTGCGGCGGGCAGCCTCCAATGGTGGGAAGGAATTTGCCAACTCGTCCGGGAGCGTGTAAGATTGGCCTGCACGTGTAAGTTTGAGAGCCATTTTCTCGGCAGGGAAGGCATGCTGTGCAACCAGGATTGCACTGTTTTCATACTTGGGCGATAAGGAACCTATCGCATTGAAATCCTGAGTTGTTGAGTTTTGCCATCCACTGCCTTTAACACCCGCTGGACAGGGGAACACAAAAAAGAAAAGCTTTATATCCTGAAGTTCCAGATATCTGGATTTTACGTTGTCTACCTCCTTAAGTATTCCGACTATCCTTCCCCATGAACATATTGAACAGAGCAAGAAACTGTACAAGTCCATTTTTCAGCTTTTTGTATGATCTCCTGATGATCCTCGGGGGACGATCGTTCATTCTTTGAAGTCATTTCTCTTTCTTTAGAGTGAAAACATTTAAAAGTTGATTATCTGATCCAACAGTGCTAAGTATATTGCTGATGAGAACAAATGAGTTCCCGAAATATTGAAATTTCCGATAAACCCCAACTTTCGACCTGTGGTTCATCGAAAATTTCATGAATCTAAACATTAGTTCTTATCAGCAACATACTTAGCACTGTTGGATTAGATAAGCAATACAACTTTGGGACCTTTTCACTAACTTTGAAGAAAGAAAAATGACTTCAAAGAGTAGACGACCATCCCCCGGGGATTACCAAGAGATCCTACAAAAAGCTGGAAAATGCTGCTTGTATACCTTCTCGCTTCTGTTCAATATGTTCATAGTGGAGGATGGTGAGAATACTTACTGATAGGTACACAGTGTGAAATCTAGGTATCTGGAGCTTCAAGGTATGAAGCTTTCTTTCAACCTGCGATTTCCTCCCCAGCGGGGATGTTAATGCATGCGGCCCATAGTCTCCGCTACCCATGCTTCTGTGTGAACGCGTCAATGGCAGCTAATGGGCCTCATTACGATGATTTTAAGGATCTCAGGAATTTATACATATAATCGGCTCCCAGATTCGTGTGGAGGTGGAGTCTTGCCAACTCACCGCGTGGCGGTTTTTGCTAGCAAGAGATTACGAAAAGCAATGCTATGACGTGGAGGTTTAGCAAGTTTACATGTGTTATCAGGCAAAGTCTGCAGTACACCTCCACACGAATCTGGGAGCCGATCATAGAATTCTATTTCAAAAAATTCTATACCGTTAGTAGGTGAAAGCGTAAGTAGAGACGCACGCGCACCATGTCAGCAGCGTGGCAGGCACTCCTTCGGCGAACCAGGATTGTTGTCCTAAAACTTGAGTCGCATTTTTTTATATAACCTTCTACTTCATTCATGAACCTTGAAACAGTTCTGAATGATGGGTCTCCCCTATGTCATGCTTTCGCTTTGCAGAAGCGTCGGGACTGATGAAGGCTCTCAGGGATGGCACCGACGAGGTTAAAGGCCTCTTGAAATACAGCTGTAACATAATTCTGGAGTGTCGGTATGTTTTGGAGCAACTTATGTTGATTGAGGTCATTGCACCACGAATACCGCTATCCTTGCTCTGCATGTGACATGAATGGCTTGCAGATTGGCAACATACAGCAACATATGAGCAACGTCTTGGTTGGGAGTCTTGAGGTCAACATGATGCACGTTGCCAACATATTAGCCACGCATGTTGCAGGTCAAAGCGCACATCAAGGGTAGCAATCGTGGTGTGGATGGTTGAGGAATTTTTCGGTGTGGGTTCCGCCTTAGGCCCCGGGCAGACTTCACGCGATTCGATCGTCGCGACTGAGTCGCGACGAGACAACTGTTACAACATCATTCCATGCCGATCAACTTGCATTCGGTTGTGATACCTTACCAGCCCGAAATTTTTGAATGTGAAATGAAAATGAATGGAAATCTTGGCGATTAGATCGTGACGATTAAGTCGCGTGAAGTCTGCCCGGGGCCTCAGCGGGGAGCTACGGGCTGTAATGCCTTGAGATGCAGCCTATCGCAACTTTAGGTGGCCACACTTTACTCGTGTTACTCGTGTTACTCGTGTTATCGGTGTTACCAGTGTTACTAGTGTTACTCGCGTTACTGGTGTTACCGGTGTTATCAGTGTTACTCGTGCTATTCTTGTTACTATTGTCACCCATCATTCAGTGAGGTTGCGTTCTAGAATGAGACTGTATTTGTGATCATTTCATTACTCAGCATTAATAAAACCGGTAACACTAGTAACCCTAGTAACACTAACTAATAACACGAATAACACGAGTAACCTGGTAACATGGGTAAGAGACGGGTAACACTGGTAACACGAGTAACACTGGTAACACCGATAACACGGGTAAGGCCTCGGGCAGAGTTCATGCAATTTCATCGGGATTCATTGCCACAAGACAAGTGTTAGGCCCCGGTCAGACTTCACGCGATTTGATCGTCGCGACTAAATCGCCGACATTTTCATTCATTTTCATTTCACATTCAAAAATTTCGGGCTGGAAAAGTATCACAACTGAAATGCAAGTCGATCGACATGGTATTTGTAGCAGTTGTCTCCTCGCGATTCAGTCGCGACGATCAAATCGCGTGAAGTCTGCCCGGGGCCTTACGAGACCATTGCATGCCGATCTTTTTGTATTTTGTTTGTGATAGTCGGTCACGATTAGTCGCGCTGGAAAACTCAAATCGCGTGAACTCTGCCCGAGGCCTAACCAGGGCCCGGCACAGATCGTCTGGAAGCAGGCTGGACTTCGTTTTTGGAGCAAAAAGCAAAAGAGATATCGTTTTTGACGAGGCGAGGCTGAGCACCAACAATAAGCGCCATTTAGTCGAACACAAGCTTTTCGGACAGGTTATCACACGATTGACGTCCTCTATCGTGTAAGGCGAAAAGTGCGCGCGATTTGAAAGCAAGGCTAAAATAAACAAATTGCTTGTTTACAGCGCACACAGAAGCATATGACACCAAATTTGAACTGTATACAGTCGAGTAGATTTCCTGCTTAATATAGTGTCCCTGCAGACGCGACAACGCTGGGGCGTCAATAAATGCCTTGCGAGTTCCCGAGCTAGTGTTTTTTAGTGTTTTTTTGCTTACTTCATGCTTTGTAGTTGATTCGTTGCTGATAAAGAGGAAGAGGGTAAGTTAGAGAGTAGTTTCTGTTTTCTGAGAAGTTCTATCATCGCATATTCACAGATAACCACATGGAAGTAGTTCGCGTCAGCTTCTTGTCTATTTTTTTGTCACTTCCTTTTCTTCTGTCACTTCTTCTTTCAGACCTCCTCCTTCTTGTGAGGAGTTTCTTTGAACGCTAGTTGGCTTGTCTTGCAGCAACTTCGGCTTTCATCCACAAGAAATAGCATTTTAATCAAGTACTTCATGTGATAAAGACAATTAGTCAATCGTGAAAACCCACTAGCGTTCAAAGAAGTACCTCACAAGAAGAAAGAGACATGAAATGACAAAAAATAGACAAGAAGCTGACGCGAACTGCTTCCATGTGGATATCTGTGAATATGCGATGATAAAACATCTCAGAAAACAGAAACTACTTTCTAACTTACCCTTTTCTTCTTTATCAGCGACGAATCACCTAAAAAGCATAGAATAAGCAAAGAAAACACAGGAAAACACTAGCTCGGGAACTCCTTAAGCAATTATTGACGCCCCAGCGTTGTCGCGTCTGCAGGAACACTATATTAAGCAGGAAATCTACTCGACTGTACATTGAAAATTATTTGCAAAAGAGTTATGTAAAAAGGTTTGAAAACTTATGTGAAGTAATACGTTTTTCAAAATTAGATCGTCTCCAGACGGCCACTAGACGATCTGAGATCGTCTGGAGCATGTATTTTCGTCACTTCACATAAGTTTCGGATCTTTTTAGCATGGACGGATTCCTCGATCAAAAATCTATCCCTGAGCATGAAAGCATTTTCATATCATTTTCATTAGCCTTGCCTTTGTTTTTTGCCTTCATTTTTTCTCAATTTGTTAAATATCGCGCTCTAATGCCAAAGTCTTGTGCATGCGTAGTATTCAGCTCCAATTTGGATTTTCACTCTTATCTTACGTCCTTTCTTTCAGACTAGTAAACCTTTCTTGTTTTCATCTTCTCCTAAGCTGGTAGATCAAAGGGGACTTCGTAAAACTTCCGAAAGTCAAGGGAGACTTCGTTTTCAGAAACCCTAGAAACCGACTCGTGCCGGGCCCTGGGCCTAACACGGGTAAATTATGACCAAAGCCTTAAACTTTAGCCTTTTGCCGAGTGGAGGACAATCGCCGAATGTGGAAGGGTCCCGCGCCGATTTCTTGCAGGAACGCATCTCTGCGCATATACAAGGGTGCCTATCTCAGACATTCGCGGTTAAGTCCCGCCGGTGAAAAAGTTGTGTCGCGATGGAATGACTGCGGGACTCAAGTAAAATGCTTCGCGAGGAAACCGGGACTCCTGCATTTCGTTCGGGATAATACTGCGCGACACGCGTTTTTGTCTCGAAATGTTTTCTACTGAGAAAACCGGGAGCTCCTCCAAGACGGGACTCCCGCTCATATACAGAAATCAACTGGGACCACGATACAGCAGCTTCGGAAACCAAATCCGAGTTCGGAATTGAATAACGCCAAGGGTATCATTCCAGTATACCGACCCCAAAAACTGAAAATCTCGGATTTCGCTCAAACTCGGTATAGGGGGGTTATTCGATACGCTGCTGCCGAATATCATATCGATTGTAAGGGTGGTTCAGTGGCCTTACTGTAGTTAGGCGAATAGCGCCTGGTAGAGTGCGTTATGTAGAACACATTAGCTAATAAGCTTTATGAACAGGCGACCTGCACTCGTGGGTGCTGTGGTAGAATGCTAACGATAATAGGCGTGGTAGAGTACCATAACAGACTATCACAGCAGGTCATGCTTATGGCATGACCCGTACGGTACTTCAGTGAGATAAGAGTTACGGTTGTTAAGAAGGTGCCGACAATAGCGGCACACTCCGGCCATCGGGAAAATCGAGAACAGCGAAATGAATTACAAGTCCAACATGCGTTTGTGAATGAGACTTGTATCGCAGAAAGTCACGACTTTTGCGTTAATCAAGCAGTAGGAGGCTTATACACAAAAGAAGGTGCCGTAAGTCGGCACATAGGAGGCATATACACAAAAGAAGGTGCCGTAAGTCGGCACGCTCCGGCCGGGTACGAAAATGGAAGCCAGGGACAGAAGAAGGCGAATGAGTGATCTACTTCCTCATGGTGCTTTTTCCATCTGTCGGGATCATGTAGTGGTCTTTGCCGTAGTGGATCGCAGGTGATTGTGAAGCAGAGAGCACGACCGTGATGCCGCATTGATAGAGCAAGAGAGGTAGACAGCTGTAAATGGATATGACGCTTTTTTTGTAAATCCATCTCTAGCGGCGAGTGGTATACAGAATCTGAAGTACTGTGTTCGTTTGTAGTCGTTCTTCTCCTTGCATCGAAGATGCTGCTTCGCACAGAGAGATTCAATTACATCGCCGCACTCGTTTGCCTGTGGCAATCTCGGTGTCATGACCTCCATCATCGGACGCTCACTTGCAATAGTTAGTAACGTGCTATCGATTTCTTCGCTAGAAATCCTCTTGTTATCAACATCTTCACCTTTTTCATTGTTGTCGTTGTTAAAGAATTTGGGAACTTCATTGCTCGGTCCTTTGAGTGTAACGTCCAGATCTGCAGACTTCGTCATTGGCATTGGTTCTGATGGTGATTTGCTGCCGTTGCTATTCTCATCCTTTACTTTGAACGGGGTTTCTCCCGTTGAATTTTTCATGCCATTCATGAGCCTTGATATGGGAAATTTCCTTCCGCTACCTGCTAACTCTTGCAAATCATCTGCCATACAATCTTGCAAGAGATATAGAAACCTTCTAGCGTCAAAAATAGTTTCAAATAATCTTATCTCTTCTTCCAACGCGTCCCAATCCTCCTCCATCATTTCCTTTGAAGCTTTTGACTTGGCGTCTTTATGTAGTTCCTTCAATATATCAAAGTCCATTTGTAGCGATTCGATGCGATCTTCGATATCCGTTTTGCATCTCGCTAGTGTATCCAGATGGCCATGGCATAGATCTTGGCGCATTTGATCATCATCTGGAAGCATAATTTTCTCACCGTGGCACGCGTACTTCTGCAATAGTTCTGCGAGTTCCGTGGTAGACGTTCTGAATACATCTGTGAGGAAAGGCGAAATCCTCATTGTTGCTGTTGTGCTGCTCTTAAGCAAGCACGTTATCGGTCTTATTTGGCCGATGCACCAAATGTAAGGGTGATTCAGTGGCTTTACTGTAGCCTTAAGCGAATAGCGCCTGGTAGAGTGCGTTATGTAGAACACATTAGCTAATAAGCTTTATGAACAGGCGACCTGCACTCGTGGGTGCTGTGGTAGAATGCTAACGATAATAGGCGTGGTAGAGTAACAAACAGACTATCACAGCAGGTCATGCTTATGGCATGACTCGTACGGTACTTCGGTGAGATAAGAGTTACGGTTGTTAAGAAGGTGCCGACAATAGCGGCACATCGATTTCGTGCAGTAGCGCCATTTTCCGGGGGTTACGGTGGGTATACGGTAGGGGGTCAAAATCACAAAATTCTCTGAAACTCGCTGCAGGGGGGTTATTCGACATGCTGATGCCGAATCGATTTCGTGCGGTAGCGCCATTTTCCGGGGGTTGCGGTGGGTATACGGTAGGGGGTCAAAATCACAAAATTCTCTGAAACTCGCTGCAGGGGGGTTATTCGACATGCTGATGCCGAATATCATATCGATTTCGTGCGGTAGCGCCATTTTCCGGGGGCTACGGTGGGTATACGGTAGGGGGTCAAAATCACAAAATTCAGTGAAACTCGGTGCAGGGGGTTATTTGACATGCTGAACACGAATACGATACTCATTCGTTACGGTAGCTTATCATTCCGGGGTTACGGTGGGTATACGGTAGGGAGTCAAAACTTCTGTGCCGATTAACTCACTGTCACGATTTTTTCTATTTTCCAATTAAGATTTGCTTTTCCCCCTCTAAGTTTATATGAGCACTCCATACAACTCATTCTGAAAACCCTGAATATCTTCCCTGAATATTTGTAAAGGTGGCCCTAATGAGGGCCTTTGGGACAGCGTATGTTTTCAGCAGGGAACCGGGTACAATTCGGCTACCTGCTTCCAGAAGTGAAACAGGGACTCTTCCCGCTTGCCGAACATGTCTCCACAAGAACTCCTTCAGGTAATCTGCATAGCGGCTGTTGTTAATCCCGCATTTCTGCTTGACGAGGCGTTTGCACCTCTGTCAATGGCTCTCGATGATCTGGGTGTGCGCCCCAGTCGTCGGATCCACAAAGTTGAGATGGTGATTGACCGTAAGGTACCTGTAATCTTGTGGAAGGGCGGAAATGCGATTGTAGGCTTGCCAACAATCGCTGATGGTGGTGGTGCCGGGCCTTATATATTTGACGATGAGGCGCAGGAGGGTGCGAGCATCGCGTCGTCGTACCAGAAAAAGGAATGATCTTCCACTTCCTCTCTCGTATCCTCCAAATAGCCATTGTTGCACACGTACAACTCGACCACGGTTGTACTTCCTCTTCGTGACGCACGTCTCATCAACCTCGACCGTGTGCCCGGATCCTCTGAGAACTGGGCGATTCCTCTTGAACTACTCGCAGCATACGTCACGGAAGTACAGCTCCCACTGGACGACGGTGGTGTGTCGTATTCCCAGCTCTTACTCGATGTCCTTCACCAGTCCGTAGTTGTGGAGCTGGAAGTACGAAAAGCTTGACAAGCGGCTGCTTGCACTTTGAGAAGAACGAGCCGGCCGTTATTCCTGAGGTTGGCTTGGTGTCCCGTCCGGTGCGACATTCTCTCCTGTGGCAGAACCAACGCTTGTGGGTCTCGTTCAGAGTCATCGGACTCCAAAAGAGGGGCATCTGGGCGTGGGCAGAAGTCCTATCGACCTTAGCCATCCTTCGAATGCGTTCTCCTCCATCCTCATCTTCGTATAGATGTCGGCAAAGGTAAAGTCCCCAAGTTCCTCCTCTAGGCGTTGGAGAGCAAAAAGAGGAACACTGCCATAGCTATCGACTGACTGCGTCGGCTGTGAGATCAAATGCCGTATGGCCAGTGTTCCGTACCGCTCCGTACCAGGTGGGAGTATGAACGTCAAACTTGGGAAAATAGTAGCCTCGAACTACTCGTGAAACCGATATAAAAATTCGAGTTCCTGCCTTCGAAGCCTTTGGTCAGAAAATAGTGCACTGCAGGAGGACAATTAAGTTACAGTATGATTATTAACATATTAATTTGGCAATGTCACGTTAATCGGCACAGAAGTTTTGACCCCCTACCGTATACCCACCGTAACCCCCAGAAAATGGCGCTACCGCACGAAATCGATATGATATTCGGCATCAGCGTGTCGAATAACCCCCTGCACCGAATTGCAGAGAATTTTGTGATTTTGACCCCCTACCGTATACCCACCGTAACCCCCGGAAAATGGCGCTACCGCACGAAATCGATATGATATTCGGCATCAGCGTGTCGAATAACCCCCCTGCACCGAGTTTCAGAGGATTTTGTGATTTTGACCCCCTACCGTATACTATACTTTGGACCGAATAGAATGATTATTCGATTATTCGAATAAATCATTCGAATGCGAATGATTCGAAAATTCGAATATTCGAAAATCTGAGATTTCGTACAATATTCGACAGTCGAATATTCGAAAATTTTCACTTTCGAATATTATTCGATAGTCGAATATTCGACGGTCATTGATTCGATCATTCGATATCCATAAAATATTCGAATATTCGATGAGCACCGAATATTCGAAAATTAGATAAGAATTGACTATTCAAAAATTCGAAGCATCAATATTCGGAAATTCGATATCCACAACATATACGGGGTGTCTTAAGGGTATGTATGATCGGCTCCCAGATTCGAGTGGAGGTGTATTGCAGACTTTGCCTGATAACACATGTAAACTTGCTAAACCTCCACGTCATAGCATTGCTTTTCGTGATCTCTCGCTAGCAAAAACCGCCACGCGGTGAGTTGGCAAGACTCCACCTCCACACGAATCTGGGAGCCGATGATACAAACTGTTTACGCTAATACCTCTCACGAAGTCTTTTGCCAACCTTTAGGTAACATCCTGTAGGGATGGCTTCAGCTTGCAAATACAGCAAAAAGCAAATCACCTATGTTTTCCTTCTTGTGTTATCCCGGTATGAACTTAGAATATAGAGCATCTGCGAAATGAGACATCCAAAAGAGTTCCCTCAGCAAAAAAGAGATTTCAAATCTATATAGCAGGGATTTTACGTACAGTCGAGTAGATTTTCCGCTTAATATAGTGTGCTTGCACTGGCGGTGAAATGCGGTAAAATATGCGCGTAAAGAAATAGCTACGCCTGTGACGCCGGCCATTTGTGGGCACACGATGCCCGCAGCACTGGCGTGGCTACTTGTTCACGCGCAAATTTCACCGCATTTCACCTTCTGTGCAAGCACACTATATTTACCGCTAAATCTACTCGACTGTAAGTTGTTGCAAACTGAGCAAGTTCTGGCCAAAGGCAGCGCATTAACGACGAATTACGAAGAGCCGCTGTTGTGCCAAATCGCGCAGCGACCGGAATCGCGTGAGGTATTTTAGGCCTTACCAAAGTGCGCAAAAGACATGATGCATTGAACTGTTATAATTTATTCAGCGGCTAGAAGGCGCAAAATGTTGGCAATAATGGCGTGCCTACCTGTTCACGCGCAAGTTTTACCGCGTTTAACCTTCAGTGCAAGCACACTATATTAAGCGGAAAATCTACTCGACTGTATGTTCAACTATGCACGGGCTATCAAGCCTTTTAAATGTGCATTCTCTTTTTTGAAAAGCGTTGGAAAACATCTGTTATGGTGTACCTGGCATAAGTTGCAAAAGTCGTTACGGTTGAGTGCAAATTCTTTCTTTATATAGTGAGTATCTTTAGAAGCTTAGTGTAAGATCGGCTTTTTGTTTCTCATTCTTATGGCTCTTGATATGTCAGAACCCTCCTCAGTTTTCCTACGGTAATTTAATTTACAACAGTGAAAAGCGATCGATACATTGTCATACTGTAAGTCTAGGTTGATGTCAGCGCACAGATTCACATACTGTTGAGAGCCCTGTATGTCAGTCCACAACTCTCAATGGGGACAAGTAATCTTCTTTGATTTTTGAAATTCCTTTACAACCGTCACGTACGCTTTTAGGTTCTTAAAGGCAGCGTCCCAAAAGAAAAATGAAGAAATAAAAAAATGTCTATACCTGAAAAAATTTATTCTGAGATGTTTTGGTCTCTCACAGGTAGTCTCACTGACATAATTTATTCGCATAGTATTCGAAAATCGAATGATATTCGAAAATCGAATAGTATTCGAGAGCCGAATAATATTCGAAATTCGAATATCGAATGGTATTCGATATTATTCGACTCGAAAACTTCCATTTTCGAATAATATTCGATAGTCGAATATTCGAAAATTTCGATTTTCGAATAAAATTCGATAGTCGAATATTTGAAGTTTTCAATTTTCGAATAATATTTGATAGTCGAATATTCGAGAATTTCGATTTTCGAATATCATTCAATATTCGAATATTCGGAAAAAATTTCGAATTTCCCAAAGTATACGGCGTATACCCAACGTAACCCCCAGAAAATGGCGCTGCCGCACGAAATCGATATGATATTTGGCATCATCATCGTATCGAATAACCCCCTTATACCGAGTTTGGGCGAAATCCGAGATTTTTAATTTTTGGGGTCGGTATACTGGAATAGCGCCTCGAAAGTTGTGGACATTGAGGTTAATCTGACCATGCGTCGTATTTCACGCAAGTATCCTTTACGCTTGGACACTGGGAGCGCGCCCCCGAAATCGCGACTCCCGATAATCTCCCGCTTCAATTTTTCTGTCGGGATAATCCCAAAGTCGGGACAAAAGCTGGTGCCGCGCAAGAGTCCCGGTTTTCTTGCGATTTCTCATTTTGTGGGCGGATCTCCTGCGAGACTTAACCGCGAATGCCTGAGTATTTGTTACAACCCTTTTCGACGACATATAGTTCTCTACGCTCTTTTGTCCAACTGGAATTCAATGAAAAAATCGTTCGCTAAACCTAGCTTTTTACGCAACTATCTGAGCATATGGAGCACACAATGAATTCGGTCTTTTCAGATGTTGCCGAGCTGTTTTCCGACATCCGGAAAATTTCCGCAAGCACAAGAATACCGTATGTCATGCTTACCATAGACCGCTCGCACCCTCGTATGAGCAGGTCATCAGTTTTCGAAAGAAAATTGCTGCTATGTACGATCCAAACCAACCGACAAGCAGTAAATTGTTCGGAGATGGCGATGACGGCGTTGAGCTCGTCATAGATGACACTTCCTACTACGAGAACTATGATGGCATGGAAGAGTTATGTGGCTATGACCCAGAAGGCAGTCCAGAACCTGGAGAACTAGTGCTTCTTCCGGAAGAAGGTATGATGGTGTGTGGTGTTGAAGAAATTGAAGATGATTTCATGGATGAAGTAGAGGAGGGCGAATACTTACCCGAGGGAAATTCGCAACTTTTGATCAGGACGTCATCGCCCGCTGAGGTATGTATACAATTCCATACTCTTGTTGATTAACGTTAAGATTCCTCGTTTCTACGAAATTGTTGGCTAATTCCAGCATTTGCATCACGTAAGCCTCTAACTAATAGTTAGTACATTCTTACTCAGGCTCCCGCCAGAGTGCCGAAGTTATGCCAGCGCTACGCTAGCATTTCGATCGATACATGTGTATTTCGTTGGGGCGGGGCTAGCTCAGCAGGTAGATGTCCCCAACGAAATACACGTGTATCGATCGAAATGCTGGCGTAGCGCTGGCATAACTTCGGCACTCTGGCGGGAGCCTCAGAAGGCTTAAGCGGGAAATTAACAATGATAATATTATTCACTCCATGACTGCTGTTACCGCCTGCGCCTCTGACCCACGGCACACATGGCTAACGTGTTGGTAACATGCAGCAACTGTTAACAACAACGCGTTTACCATCAATCTTTAGGTCATGGTTGTTGCATGTTGCTAACATGTTGGCGCTGGCGCAGCGAGCCGCAAGTCAGAGAGGCAGAGCAGGGATAGCAGTAATCGTGGAGACGCACATCCTTCATTCCTTAACTAAGACTGTGTTCATACTGATCCCGAAGTCCGGGAACAGTTCCAGCACAGCGTTCAGTTCGAGCACTGTGCTGGGACTGTTCCCGGATTTCGGGATCAATATGAACGCAGCCAAGACTGCGTCTATACTGATCCGGAAGTTTGGGACAGTCCCAGCACAGCCCTCGAATTGAGCGCGTGCTGGTGGACTGGATCAATATAAACGCAGCCTAACAGACACAAGCACGCTATGCTTACGACTGCTTGACAAGTTTATGAGTGCTTAACGCGTTTTGCTTGATTACTACTAGGAAATCGTGAACATGTCGAAATCGCTAAACAACGCTAGTTTGAACATGGTCTTTCACGAATTCCCAATAGTAATTTACTGGAAAGCGTTCGAACGCACTCTCAAACTCATTTATCAGACGTACGCAGTAGTCAGGGATTGAATGACAGTTTTACTGGAAGAAAGCTGTAAATGTCACGAAGCGAGTTCATCCATCTTACATTTTAGATCAGTTGCTGTACCGCAGAAGCGAATTCGCGCAACTCTACGCATCCTAACAATTCGGGTAAGTTTTTTGCTCCAAACCTATTATGTGTATCTCACACGACCTCCCTTAGGTACCGCCGCTTGCCTCTCGCTCCTTTTTGCTGCTTTTTGCGTGTCTTATAATAAAAAAACAAGTATATATCTTGGCGCTTGCATACCTAACACCCGAAACCAGCAAATGGGTTGCAACGCCGCAGTACCACTAAAAACTTCTCTGGAAAGCATTTACTTCATTACGAGTGATAGGGACTTGTAATGATAACCTAGGGTCTCGCCCGACCGCCCCCCAGGCTTGCACCTCTTTCTTGGGAATATGATTGGAGAGCACGCTCGCGGAAGAAAGGCAGAGCCCAGGCGAGGCGCCGCGCGGGGCTCGAGCCACGCGCTATCATCGCTCTCAGGCCCATAAGCACGTACTACATCCCCGAGTAGGGGGGAGGGGTGGGGGATCTGAGAGGGGATGCACCATATCTCGCTACTCTATTTACCTGTATTATTCTTTTCCTATCTTACTTAGAGGGTTCACATGCCTTAATCAATGTTTTGTGTGACTACTCAGGGGATCACCTCACATTTTCGAAGTCCTTTATTTTCCAATGAACTCAATGAAAATGCTGTAATAAACTAGTAATAAATTGAAATTATATATTTCTATAGTGTAGTGCTAGTTAAAATTAAAGAGATTTAGATATTTTTCTAGAACACTAAACTATGTTACTCCGTTAAAGTTGTACCGAGGATATACTATGGCATCGCTTAACCTATGGTGCATCCTCAGAACTGTTCCCATGTGAACCATCAACGTGGCTGTCTTTCAATCATTCCAATATTTTTTTAGCCTTGCATTATTCCCATACGGGAATAATGCAAGGCTCTGCCACTCTTATTAGTCTCCTCCATGTTTCACGGTCTAATGCTTGACGTTCATCTATTCCAAGCTCTCTCAGATCTGACTTGACTTTGTCTGTCCATCGCAACTTAGGTCTTCCTCTTGGTCGTCTGCCGGGAACCTCTACTGACATCGCTAGTCTGGTGATGTGTTCTTCCTCTCGCCTTCTGACATGGCCATACCATCTAAGCCTCCTTTCTTGCACTTTCTTGGTTATTGGGGCCACTTTCATCGTTGCGCGAATGGTATCATTAGTGACGTGGTCGAGCAGCGTGACACCCATCGTCCATCGGAGCATGCGGGTTTCCATCACTCCAAGCCTTCGTTCATCCTTGCGTGTGCACGGCCAACACTCGCTTCCATACAGCGCAGTTGGGCGGATGACAGTGCGGTATATCTGAGATTTCAGCTTGAGCGGCATCCTTTTATCGCATAGCACTCCTGTGAGACTTCTCCATTTCAACCATGCTGCGTTTATACGACTGGTTATTTCGTCTTCGAGCGTGCCGTCTGCCGCGATGCGACTTCCTAGGTATTTGAAGGACGTGGTCTTCTTGATCTGCGTGCCTGCAATCTGGATCGTCTCGGGCGTTTGAAGTCCCAGCTTCATGTATTCTGTCTTGGCGGTGTTGATCTTCAGACCGTGTAGTTCAAGCTGTTCTTTCCATATTGCTACGTCTGTCTCCAATTCCTTCCTGCTTCTTGCCATCAGGAGCACATCATCTGCGTACATGACGGTCCAAGGAGGTGGATTTACGAAGCTTCTGACTATCGTGTCCATCACTGTGATGAAGAGTAGAGGGGAGAGAACGGATCCTTGATGTACACCGACATCTATGTGGTAGTCTTCTGTACGTCCTGCTGCTGTTCTTACGTAGCTGGTGGCATCCTTGTATATCATTCTGATCCACCGAACATATTCTTCTGGTACCTCGTGCTTCCGCAGTGCCCACCATATAACGTAGTGCGGTACTCTGTCGAATGCCTTCTCAAGATCCAGGAATGCCGCGTGGAGCTCACATTGCTTTTCTCTGCTTCTCTCCATCATCATTCTGACGGTGTGAATGGCATCTGTCGTACTGCATCCTTTCACGAATCCGCACTGGTTGGAGCTCAGTATCACGATACTTCGAAGTTGCATCTCTAGTATTCTTTCGAAGATCTTCAGCGTGGGGCACATGAGACGGATAGGTCGGTAGGTGGAGCAGTCAGCTACGTCGCCTTTATTCTTCCATATCGGTACCGTCGTACTTCTGCGCCAATCATCGGGGATATTCTTCGACTCGACTATCTGATTCAGAAGACGCGTTAGCCACGAAACTCCAGCCTCTCCACACTGCTTCCAGAACTCGTTGGGGATGTCATCGGGGCCTGTCGCCTTGTCGCTCTTTGTCTTCATTATGGCGGTACGGACTTCATCTTCAGTGATTGCTGGTACTGGTCCATTCACGGGTTCGGATGTTACGGTGGACGCATATTCGTTGTTTGCTGACGCCATCTTTGCGAAGTGCTCCCTCCATCTTTCATTGATTTCCTGCGGCTTCCTCAGAATTCTTCCGTGCGCGTCCTTGATGTGGTAGAAGTGTTCAACGTCTTTTGCGGCATTTGCTCGTCTTCTAGCGATCCGATATACTTCTCGTTCACCTTCGCGAGTACGCAATTTGCCATACAGTTCTGCTACGTATGCTTCTTTCGCTTCTCTGACTCTCTTCTTGGCTTCACGTTTCGCTTCTAGGTACTTCTGGTGTGCATCTTCTGTTCTTGTCTTTTGCCATGCTTTATACGCCATCTTCTTGCTTTTTATCACTAGCTGCACTCCATCGTTCCACCACCATGTTTCCTTGTCAAGCTTCCTTCTTCCTGGCTTCGTGCGCCCAAGTAGATCGCCAGCTTTCTGAGGGATGTTGTTCTTCAGATTCGTGGAATGATTTGGATCACTTCCCACTTCTGGCAAGGCGGATTCCATTAGCGTTCTTGTACGGGCGTCGTTCTTGAGTTTCCACCACTTGATGCGTACTTCAGCTTCTGTCGTAGCCCTCCTTTTCCTGTCTATTGGTATGTTGAGATCTAGTATTAGTGGCCGATGCTGTGGCACGCAATCTTCACCTAGGATGACTTTGCTGTCTTTCACGTACTTCAGCTCGTTGTACCGTACACTCCAGAAGTCTATCTGCGATTTGCGTCCTCCACTGGCATACGTGACGAGGTGATTGGTCTTCTTGATGAAGTATGTGTTTGCCAAGGCAAATTCATGAGCTGTAGCGAATTCCAGGATACGTTCTCCTTCATCATTACGCGTTCCGTACCCGTGATTGCCGTGGCACTTCTGTAGACCGCTCCGTTCTTCTCCTACGTGCCCATTGAGATCTGCACCGATGAGAAGCATCTCTTCATGTGGTATCGAGCTGACGTAGTCATCAAGCATTTGCCAGAATTCTTCCTTCTCCGCTTCTTCGCAGCCTGCTTGTGGTGCATAGGCCGTTATTATTCGAAGTACTCTCTTCCCGGTATCTAGTTTTATACCCATGAGGCGGTCACTCAGTCGATCTACAGCCATGATTCTGTTCCTCAACGCCTCAGAGACGACTATAGCGACACCGTTCCTGCTGTTGTTCGTTCCTTTGTACAGAAGTTTGTAGCCATCTCCGATATCCCGTGCTCTTTCACCTTTCCATCTGGTCTCCTGGACACAAGCAACGTCTACTTTACGTCTTCTAAGAAGATCGGCAAGTTCGCGATGTCCAATGTGAGAGAACCGACGTTGATGGTGGCTAGACGTAATGCCGAAAACTTGGAAATCTTTCTATGGTGAACTAGCTTCTTTGGCCGTCCCCGTTCACCTTGCTGAGACGGTAACCCTCGCCCATTGTCCGCATCCGTCGGGCTCGAATGCGCGTCGCCTCCGGGGAACGCCCTAGCTTTTGTACGAGAATTCTGTTGAGACATAAAAGAGCATGTGATGCGACGTGGTGTCTTCTTCAGCCGGCTTGTCGCTTGCTTCCTTTTGGGTGAGCAGCCTGACGCTGGAATCGTGGGCAGAGCTTTTTGCCAAAGAAGTTAGGCCCGCCGCGGAACCGAACCTGTGACCTTCCTTGCCGTAGTCAAGGGCACTAACCTCTCGGCCAGCTCTGCCCTTCAATCATTCCAATATGTCAACTTCGAATAAGGCCTCAAATTTGCTGAACCTAACGTGTTAAAACGATCGAAAGACAGCCACGTTGATGATTCACATGAGAACAAATCTGGGGGATGCACTATATCTATAGTGGAAATTAGTGAAATCTTAGGATATCGAGATTTTCAACGAATCGCTGTTCGCGAGCTAAGGTTCATCGAAAAAAAATTACTACCTGCACAATCAATATGTTTTGCAGAAAACATCCTTAGCAATGCCACAGCAGATCCTCAGTACAACTTCACAATGTTTTCATCCACTTCCTAGCGATTTTGAAAACAAGGGTTGATTTCTTGGGATCCTCAGGGAATCACGCGAAACAGGGAAATCTCAGCTTGTGTGGCAATGTCCTACCATCCGTTACACTCAAGTATCAGGCTTTAGAACGTTCTATAACAGTTATATAAGGTTTTATAACATTTTTACGTTTTATAACATTTTTATAACATGTTTATAACATTCCTATAACATAACATAGACAGAAAAGGATACAGATTCTAGATAGCGAAAGGCGCGTCACTTTCAGATCCCATCCCCTCCCCAGCGGGAATGTACGTGCTCTAATGTTCCAAAGGGTATTTACTAACAGATTGCTCTTTCCTCGTTCCCGTCCGAGTTTCTTTATCCTGTTAGGCGCGTCCATACTTAATCCACTTTGATCCGCACGATCCGCTTCATCCACTTCGCTATTGGTCAATTCAATTTGACCAATGGAGTGAAATGAAGTGGATGAAGTCAAACGGATCAAGTCGATCAAGCATGGCGGGTGCTCTGGGAAAAGGTAGTCGACAACCGTGCGTTTTTGTGGATCGATGACCTATCAAGGTGGGCTTGAATTTCTGAGTTGTTTTCAGCTCATCAACAGAAATCTACGGCGCGTGGAACAACATCGTCTGCAGTACCGTCTTCCTCTGTTCGACGTCCACTCCACGACTCTGCTAACCCACTGCGTTCCTAACCTATGCCACACATTGCTAAGGGATCGGCCATACTATTCCTGCTATTCGTACGATCCCTGTGATTCCCGCACAGTTTATACGCCGCTTAGATGAGCGCGTGTTGCGTGTTGTTTTACGCAACACGCGCTCATTTAAGCGGCGTATAAACTGTGCGGGAATCACAGGAATCGTAGGAATTGTATGGCCGATCCCTAACATGCCACAACGTGCAACAATATGTTTGCTATCGGCGTTGGGGTCGACATTGTCGCATAAAGCCAACGTGTTAGCCACGCTCCTCAGAAAGGCAAGGTACGGATAGCGCAATCGCGCGGACGACTCAGACTCCAAACGAAAGGCTGCACGTCATGCTCCCGCCAAAGTGCCGAAGCCAGCGCCGAGACAGCTGTTTCGATCGATACACGTGCATTTCGTTCAGGCGGGGCTAGCTGGCTGTGTGCGGGCAAAGCGCTACCGGAGCTTTTGATAGTAGTTAATAGTCGACGCACTTACCTGGCTGAGAACTAGGTCAGCTAACCCCTCCCCGGACGGAATACACGTGTATCGATTCAAACAGCGCCGGGACAGCTCGGCGCTGGCGTGGCTTCGGCACTCTGACTGGAGCCTCAGAAGGTACGCCGCGCGCAGATGCTCTGACGCGGCACCAAATCATGGGATTCACAAAATGCTCCGCCGTTAGGGATTACCGGCGGCAAAAACAGGGCGGTGGGGATGGGGGCAGATACATGACTCGATGCCATAAGTGACACTGCGCTAGGAGTGCTGCCGTTGGGCTAGGGGACTATATGTCGCCGATAGGCTCCACTCCGCGCGGACAGCCGGTACAAATCCATTATGTTTGTATGTGGAGCTGCGTACTTTATCACAGAGTCCTCTACCCCTGCTGTTGTATTAGTTGACACTGCGGCGTCGCTTCACGTAGAATTCGCCGGACTATGTCTGCCCATTCAGCACAGGTTTTTGTAGTGAGCTGCAAAAGATGCACAAACGCACACCCAATAAGGCGTCGAGGCAGCCGTTATTACGCAGTCCTTCACATGTTGTAGCTGTCGATTGTTTGCTTTGGACTATGCACAGCTGCATGATTTGAGCTTTTGATTAAAGTCGTAAATTCATACAAATATTCACACATGTTTTTTTACATTTATTCCTAAACAGTTTAGCTGACGATAGCATTTCCCTCACGGAAAGTCCTCCACATGGTCCTATCGACATTGCACTTTTCAACGAGAATTTGTTGGAGTCACCTACTGAAAGCGACTACTTCGGCAAAGAACGTAACGTTATTGCATCCACATTTTCTCTTTCTGTTGCCAAATAGTTCTTAACGTTGTCCGTGTAAAGTGCGGACCCGTCAGGTTCATCAACGCAGACAGATGTGTAGGCAGCGTATACGTTACCGACTTAGTTTATGAAGACCATGTCTAAAAAACTTGATTTCCTTTCGTGAGCGTTTTGGCGTGCTGAACCCGAACGCTCTCAGGGCGTTTATAAAGATTGGACTCAAGCTGTTCTCATTCTTCAAAGAAACGAGCACAAAAACTGCTTGCATCAAAAAAAGAAAAGAAAAAATAGAACATTTCTGAGAAGAAAATTAGGATAGTTTGAATAAAACTGGCTATTGAGTGTAGTAGAATAGTGAATCAAATTACCATGACTGGGATGTACTCTATGCTATGTCTGAATTGATGCGCATAAGTGAACATGTCATAGAGACACTCGACTACATCGCCATCGTAGCAGTGAAAAGTATGGGATTCTAGGCCAAATCGCATCACTAAGCCCATTCTGAATTAAAACTCGCAAAAGTATTAAGGTCTCAAATTATAAGTCTCATTGTGGTACACTTGTCGGAAACGACACGGTGGTACTTATCGTTGGTCAAAGTTGATTATAACTTTCGGACTATTTCGATGGCAGTAGCATAAACTTCGTAATATATCGCAACAAGTTCAATGTACAACTTCACACTATTCAAGACACATTATGTTCTCGTCATGGGATGCACTCTCAATCTCACCGATGCCGGCTGAGCACTGCTGGGCGAGTCTACCAACGGAACTGCAAAAAAGAAAAAAAACAATATGAGAGAAAGCCTACGGAAATAAATGTTACTTACCTGAGACTAGTTTATGGGAAAATGAGTGTGCTAAAAGGACAAGAGTCAGAGTCACGTCTGCAGCATCGCTCCACGTATCTACGGAAGAGATCAACACCTGAAAAATAGCGACCAGAGTCATATGTTAAGATCACAAAGCACAAAACAACCTTTGAGGAAATGATATTCCCTTCTTTCGAGATATCCATTGAACGTGGATGAAAATAATCACGAGAATTGTTCGGGTATTCGATCTAAAGGTATTTAGGTTGCCTTGAAGCTGTCGCATGTATGATGATTCTTCTACATAATACTATGTAATATCATATTACAATTAACAGTTCGTTGAGTGGTTATGGTGGTTGACTATTAATGGTTGCTGCGAAGCAATCGCTCTATGCTGACAAAGAGCTATTGCTCTTTGTTTAGAGAACTTTGCTTTTGGCTAAACTAACTCATTGAGAGAGTGCTGAGATAATCGCTGAACCTTACAACCCCTTGTTTTCATCATGTCTGACTTTCGCTAAGTTTCAGACTTTTAAACTGAGACTTTCGGGGGAAGCTTTGATAGTAAGCAGATAGGGCAAACCTTTTGCCAACGTAAGCAATTTTCGTAGCTTCGCGACTTGTCTTTCAGAATTAATAAAATTTGCTTTTTGAAGTAACCAGATTTTACATTCCGCCCATTCTAACCTCGTAGTACTTGAAACGGTAAAAAGTTGAGGTACTATAGGCCGTCCGCGCTGCGCGCGGAGAGCACTGTTGCGCATCGAAGATAGAAGAAGCGCAGAGAAAACGGGCGGCGAGAGTGAACGGGAAAAGAGGAGTGACGCGCAATACACACCTTGCGCACTCTCCGCGCCCTGCGCGGACGGCCTATATCCGATGCATATTTTCTCCTCTTTCTAAGTTGTTTTTTCTTGGCGAGACGCGCGAAATTTGCGGAGGACATTGCGTATTTCTCTACTTCAAGAGTCGCATTGATGAACCCTAAGTTCTGGAATCTTCATATTTTGGAATGAAAATCGCTCATCTTTGTAAGGATATAGATAGTAGTAAATCGAGTGTTGAAACCTCAGTATTTTAAAGATTTTGCAGTGTTTCGTGCAGTAGCAGGTTATGTGTCCTTACTAAAACTCGAGACTTTTCGAAAATCGTTTAGCAAATTTCTAAGAGTACCTGGAAGAAGAAAAAAATTTTTTTTGACTGGCAAAACGTTTGTTCTATCTGTTGTTATTGAAGCTCCCCCAAAAGTCTGATGTGAAAATTTTGGATGTTAGCGGAAGTTGGACATGGTGAAGAGTTATAATTTCCAGCGATTATCTCAGCGCTCTTCGGAATGTCGCATCGAAAACATAGCTGTTGGAAAGAGGAGGAAGTTCTGCATTTACTGCTTGAGCATTTATTTATTTTTACTGTGAGGAATTCACGGGTAATTTCAGAAAAACTTTCGGACCGACCTGATAGAATATTTTGTGAGAAAAGGAATTGGTAGGGAAGAGGGGAGGAGGGCATTTGGCCAAAAGAGGGACAACGCAGGTTTGCAAAACGCCGAATTTACAGGACTGTGTACCTGTAGAGCATAGGAGGAAACAATGGTGTGAAAAAGCTGGGAGAAGGTATCGTCCCTTCCAGAGTTGCTGCTACCCTTAGTCTGCGTCTCAAACATGTCATGCGTGGCTAAGGCTTGATACATACCTGGCGTCGAGTGTCTATACGTAGCGGTGGCAGCAACGTATCTGACGCGTATCGATTGCAGCGGAGTGACGCTGCTGCCTCACGCTGTAACAGCTAACGAAAAAGGTCCCATACCTAGCGACTTATTTTTGAGCAGCGCTGCTCGTGTTGATCAGCGCTGCACTAGATTTTGCAGCTGAGTTACGCTCACTTTTTCTGAGCTCAAGCTCGATACATGCCTCGCTGCTTAGGTATGGACTAAACCAACGAGGAGCGAAGGCAGCGCTGCTTTGGCTGATTAGCGCTGCAGCCGGCTGCTTCTCGACTCGCTGATTGCAAAAACCATCCAAATAATTGCGCTATCGTCAAGTTCTAGAATGTCGAAAACGAGACAATTTGCATGTTTTGAGTTGGATCTGGAGTCATATTCTACTTTTACGAAAAGTTCTTCATGATCCATTTGTCATTATCAAACTTGTAATGAAAAGGTAAACTCATACAAGCAAATTTAACAGGAGCAAAAGTGTACTGATTCCATTTGACCCTTATCAATGGTTGTCCCAACAATAATGAGAGTGTCCCTCAGGCAGAACATGGTCGGAGTCCACTGGTGGCGAAGTTTTATCTGACCACGAGTGACCGCCGGTCTCTTAAATTTAAATTATTGCCAATCTGTAGTTGATTTGATTACTTTACATCTCTTCAACTTCATGGAGTATGTCTCTCCATCTCAATTTCCCATATCCGCCTCTAAATTTCTAATTGGTCTTAAGTTGCATTCATGACTTGCTCATGCAAGAAAGACGGATGTTGTTTTCAAAGCGCTAATTGCAGCTCGAAAACCGGTAAAAATAGGTGGATTTAAAGAAAAGCAGCTATTTGCAGCTCAAAGCAGCTGAGATACGCTCAGAAAAAGTGAGTGTAATTCAGCTGCAAGATCTAGTGCAGCGCTGATCAGCACGAGCAGCGCTGCTCAAAAATGAGTCGCTAGGTATAGTCGAGTAGATTTTCCGCTTAATATAGTGTGCTTGCATTGAAGGTGAAATGCTGTAAAATTTGCGCGTAAAGAAATAGCTATGCCCGTGACGCCGGCCATTTGCGCGCGCAAAATGTTGGCATTACTGGCGTGGCTACTTGTTCACGCGCAAATTTTACCGCATTTCACCTTCAGTGCAAGCACACTATATTGAGCGGAAGATCTACTCGACTGTATGGACATGACCTTTTGCGTTGACCTTTTGCGTTCTGCTGCAGCGTGAGGCACTCCACTGCAATCAATATGCATTAAATGCGTTGCTGCCATCTCTACGTATAGACACCCAACGCCAGGTATGTATCAAGCCATATATTTGGTATGTATCAAGTCTCAGCTGCTTCGAGCTACAAACAGCTGCTTTTGTTTGAATCTACCTATTTTTACCGGTTTTCAAGCTGCAATTAGCGCTTTAAAAACAAAGTCCGTCTTTCTTGCATGAGCAAGTCATGAATGCAACCTAAAACCATCAAATTAGGATTTTAGAGGCGCATATGGGAAAACATTGAGATGAACTGGAGAGACATACTCCATGAAGATGAAAAGATATGAAGTAATAGAAGTCAGCTACAGATTGGCAATAGTTTAAAGGCAGCGTCTCACCAGACTGGGGGTATCTGGCTCTCGTAATGATGTGATAGTAGACCCCCTACCTAAGCGATAACTGAAGTTTGGAGCGAAAAAGGGGGTCTACCAAGCCTGAAATTTGCTCCGAAAGTGGGCCGAATCTTACGGTAGGCCCCGCCGCCCATACGGCAATATCGATTTGCAGGGCCAGAGTGCGTATAGCGCACACATCATGAGTACAGGGACCCGCAGCAACTCTGCGTCTCTACCTTGCGTGCACCTCGCACTCGCCCGATCCTACCGTAGGATTCGGCCCACTTTCGGAGCAAATTTCAGGCTTGGTAGACCCCCTTTTCGCTCCGAACTTCAGTCATCGCTCAAGTAGGGGGTCTACTATTACATCATTACGAGAGCCAGGTACCCCCAGTCTGGTGGGACGCTGCCTTTAAGGAACTGACGGTGTGGTCAGATGAAATTTCGCCTCCAGTGGACTCCGATCATGTCATTGCCTGAGGGAAACTCTCGTATTGCTGGGACAGCCATTGATAAGGGTCGAGTGGAATCAGTACATTTATGCTCCACTTATGTTTACTCGTATGAGGCTACTATCTATTATAAATTTAATAATGAAAAATGAAACATGAAGAACTCCTCATAAAAGTAGAATATAACTCCAGATTAAGTTCAAAACATGCTAATTCTCTCTTTTCGACATTATAAAACTTGGCGATAGCGCAGTTAATGTCGATGGTTTTTGCACTCAACTAGCACTCAAGGAGCAGCCGACTGCAGCGCTGATCAGCCGAAGCAGCGCTGCCTTCGCTGCTCGTTGCTTTTGTCCATACCTAAGCAGCGAGGTATGTATCAAGCCTAACATGTTTGCAACGTCAGCAACAAATGTTTGCAACATGCAACAACATGTTGGCGTTGGGACTGATAGCCAAAATTTCTGCCAACATGTTGTTGCATGTTGCAAACACGTCTTGCCGACATTGCAAACATGTTAGCCACACGGTAGGTCTGAGACGTAAAAGGTTAGCAGCAACTGTGGAAGGAACGATAGTTGAAATTCTGTCGAAACTTTTGTTAATGAAAGTTTGGAAGTTATAGGCAGGCGAAATAATTCTTACCATGTTTTGAGGAGGAAAGGGGTGAGTGACTTTTCATACGATGAGCAATTCCGAGGTGCGAGGTGTGAACACCTACGGTTAGGTGTGAAGTCTCGCACCTCGGCGTCTAGTATACTGTAGGTAGAGGGACTTTTCATACGATTGCTTCCACACTAACCTGACCTTTTGGCAACGATTCAATAAGATTGGACAGATTCCTCTCTGCTGCTCCATACCAAAGAATGAAGCATCTAGAATAGCTTACGCAGCACAGCGAAATCAGAAAAAGAGCAATTTGAAAGCTGTACGAGAAAAATAATATTTTAGTTGCAGGTTCCGGTCTTCCCTACCCCAACCCCCATTTCAAACGTGAAATCCATCTGACATAAACCTCATAGTGGGATATTTTTCAAAATTCCAAACTCATTGCATTTTTTGCCTTTGCTTCCGCTTCGGTATCATAGTAGAAATAAGCTAAAACTGAAAGCAAAATTTTTGCAGAAACTAAGTCTTCACTAACAAATCCTTCTTACAGTATTTTTCACTGCTCTTGGATCTAATCGTTTTTTGCGAGCTTTTTAGCATAACCTGGAAGTGCTACTTCCCCATAAGGGTTGAGAAAATAGGACACTTGGAACGGACTTTATTATCAAGCTTATCCAATTATTTACGAAAATGATTGCGCTGTGGCCTAGCGGCCTTTACTATGATCCCTTCAAAGCTAAAGTGAGACCAAGTAAAGAAGTTCTTCGATGGCCGAAAGTACCCAATAGAAGTATTTGCAATACTGCTCAAAAGAAGATTAAAAAATTGTAGATTTATATATATATATATATATATATATATATGTCTTACAAATATTTTGTACATTTTCGATAATTAAGATTTCTGTCCACTGTAATCGATAAGTGGTTCTATCACTAGCATCCCGGCATAATGCCGAAAGGTCAAGATGATCAGGGAACCATGAAAAGTCCCCCTCCCCCCCCCCCCCCCGTTCCCCCTCTTCCAGCCGTAGTGGAAAGTCTTACTCACTGCGCGGGTTGAGAGGTGCGAAGACTAGGTGCGAAGTCTTCGATCGTATGAAAAGTCCCCCTCCCGAGGAAAGGTCTACCATAGAACTTCAAAAGTTTTATTTACTCACATCTCACTTCACACACATCCGCTTCGCGACGCTTTGGACTGGTATATGATAATCGAGGGGAATAATGGATTTTGTTTGAACGATACCGTCAAGCAAAAAAAAACAACAACAACAGAACAAGAACAAAGGGTAGGAAAACTCTATTGCGTGATTCGGACCGCTTAGTCGATCCTCCGAAAACAATCGTTACGCAGTCGCAGCGTTATTACCGAACAGATGGGCTTAAATTTCCGAATTCTGCTTGCGACATGAAACTGAAGTCTGGAATTTTTGCAAAAAGTGATGTATGTCACCATGGACAGTGACGGATCCCTCCCCCCCCCCCTCCACTCATTGGACTAAATAGTAATTCGGACTGTACCTGAACCCGAAGACTCTGCAGGTCTTCGTCTTCAAGATTGTGGAGGGACGCCACAAGCTGAACACCACACGGCAACCCGGCCACAAAACGCAGGGGCTTCTCCAATGCCACATCGCGATTCGGTTCAGTTATCTATGCGATCTAGTGATTGTGTGCACTGTGTAGATAGATTATAAACTTTTGTATCACCTGAGCCCACTTAGTTTTGATATTTCCTATATCTGAAAATACTTGTGGGAGAGATGGCGTATGATTCACTAAGAGATGTCCGAATGTGGCGGCCGAAAGAATTTTCTTGCCATCGGTCTGGATGCAGTCGAGAGGTTCTTGTATAGCAGAGATAAGCGCTAATGCTTGTTCACTGGGTGGCCCTATGACGGCCCATCGACTGCAATGAATAGAAATACAAGATCGCAAACAAGTCGAAGGTATTGTCGAGTCATCACACTCAGAGACAGAGCGCGACTGCGGACGCTCCGGCGTCTCTCTGATCAAGCGCATTGTCACCCATCTCATCCAGCGGCGGTCCCAAGATCTCTACTGGGGAGGGGGCGCGACGAAATTTCGCATGGAGGTGCGTGGCGTCGCTTCCCGATTTTTTGCGGGCCCATGACCCAGAATTTTGGTCGGCCGCAACGGCGCCCAGTCTCCGCATGCGATGAGTTCCCCAAACTTACTTTTGTGCATCTGCTATGACACTGCGAATACCAAGCACAATTGCTGGATAGCGTTCCGGTGAAGAGGTTGCCTCAACCAATAACTGCAGCAGGCTGAGAAACATGCCTGCTTCAACGAGAAATGAAGCCATCTGGACCGATATACCAGCAAATTGGTATTCTGCGCAGCGCACACGCACTAGTTCCTATAAATCAAATCTAGAAGTGTGTATTACTGATGTCGAGTACTGTAAAAATCAATCACAATTATATACGAGCAAATTCAAGTAACTTTTTGCTGCTTGCCCTAAGATGCTGATTGCAAAGTTCTGCCGAAATGCACGCGCATTTCCGTTACTTCCAAAAAGTTCTTACAAGGAATGCTTGTTTAGTCGAAGTGGCCTTTTTTGATGGGATGTACACCATATTGTAGAGCATAAAATGCTGATTCCAAATCTGCCTTCCGTATCTGCAGAACGTTTATGGACGAGAAGTTATGAGCGTTTTCTGGAGTCAAAAATTGAATGTGCAAGTGTGACAAAAATAACCGTAATACTTTTTCTAGCTCTTCAACGGAGCAATGATAATCACCAAAACACTTCACTAGAAAATTGCTCTAAAATAAAAATTATACCACACTTGGTTACGTTATTTGAAGGCTAGTAAGATTCTAACAACTCATTTTATTCAAAAGCACATTCAATTTTTGGCTCCAAAAAACGCTCATAACTTCTCGTCCATAAACGTTCTGCAGATAAGGAAGACAGTTTTGGAATCAGCGTTTTATGCGCTTTGATATGGTATAAATCTCATTTGTAAATGCCACTTCGATCAAACAAGCTTCCCCTGTGAGTGGTATTTGGTGAAAGCACAGCCATCAAAGCTGAAAAATAGGAGAAACGAGATTTTAATTGGCTTCTGATTCCACAGTTTGGAGGTCTTTTGAAGCGGAATTCCTAAGGTGGACAAGTAAGAAGTGGTGCTTTGTCTTGAGCGCAAAAACGGGTAGCTAATTTATCTTTGAAACAAAGCTTATCATGTTGCAAATGAGCATTTCACTTGGGTGGCCTAGTATCTCGAATCTTTAGAATACGCTCAAACTTTGTCTACAGGGGTTAATTGATATGCCGATTATGGATATGTTGCCCGTTATGTGTGACAGGGCGTTCAAGTGATGCTATCTTAGATATATAGTTCAGGGGGGGGGGGTCTTATTGAGACAGCAATCGGAGGGGGGGGGGGGGGTCATAACCAGCGATCGTGTGCCACACCTCTCGCTTGACCCTGGTTATGAGCGCTTATTGGGGCCAAAAATTGAATGTTCAAGTAGGACAAAGGTGTATTACTTTTTCTTGCTCTTCAATGTAGCAGCGATGAGCATCAGAGCACTTTATTTGAAAAATACTCTCGAATAAAAAATATACCACGTTTGGTTGCATTATTTGAGGGCTAGTAAGACTTTAGCAAATGTTTTATCCCAAATGCACATTCAATTTTTGGCTCTCAAAAACGCTCACAACTTCTCGTGCATAAACGCTCTGCAGATAAGGAAGACAGATTTGGATTCAGCGTTTTATGCCCTTCAACTTGGTATACATCTCCTTTGAAAGGCCACTTCGACTAAACAAGCTTCCCCTCTTAGACTGACGATAAAAAGTTTTTTTTACTATGTTTGAATCGCATATAGGTCGTTCCGAAAGTTCTTTCCGATTTTTTCAAACGATTATAAAAAGGGTGGGATAGAGATGAGAAAACCTTCACAAATTGTTCGGTGCAGCTTATCCTCCTCTTTCCAGCAGTTGTGCTCAGCTACGTTCGCAATTATGATTACTAAGATGATTGCAGGAATTAAACCCATGGTTTTTACCATGCCCAAGTTTGGCAATTACATTCTTTGTTTGGGACTCCTGGAGGAGTTTTGGTGATAGCTGGATAGAGGAAACAAAGTGCAATACTATAACTTTTTTCTCATCTCTAGCTGCTTTTCCAAATTATCACGTTCATTTTTCTGATGTTAACCATTTCCATAGTGGGTTACCGCAAAATGCGAGATTTGTATTTCGACGCGGTAAGCGCTTAGTTGTTTTGTAAAATTAGTGTATAATCATAATCGTTCTTGAAAGTTTCAATTTCTGAGAATTTGTTGGTGTTTGGGGAGCCTGTGTATTTTGCGCCTTCGCAAAATTAAAGACTTTTGAAAAAGTTATTTAGAAATGTTGGGAAGCCAGTTGAAGTTGCCAAAACATTGCTTTGCATTCTTTGTTCACGCTATTTGACTGCTATAGATTTTCCATAAGTTAGGAAGAAAAACTAAGAACCGTGGCTACATTTCACAGACTATCTTAGTGACCACGAAAGTAGATAGCACAGGAACCTGATTGCCTGAAAAGGGAAGAAAGGCTGCGTCGAATAGTGTTAAAATGTTTGTCTGCATTTATTCCACATGTTCTGTAATAGGCTGAAAAACGGACTTTCGGAACGGAAAAAACTTTCGGATTGACCTAATATCTTGCCCAATGCTTGATTGCTGAGTTGAAGATCTGCTACAACGATTTTGATTTGAACCAAAAATCAGGTGTCTAGGGCACCGTCCCTCAAATTGTTCGATTATCTCGGAGATATTTTGGATCTTTTTCGATGAAGTCGAATCCCGTAAAAAGCCCCAATACGTTGTTAAAACAAATTTATGATTTTCAAAAACCATGATGCAGCTATAGAACACCTCGCATACCCAAATAAAATTGACAATTCTCTTAGGTTGATGCTGATTAATCCATGTCCTTATCCTGAAGCTGCAAAGAAGATATCATCATATAATTTAGAATGACAAACCGCAGTTTAAAAATGCGGCAATAACGGGAAACAGCTGTGCGGGTCCGCAGAGCGCGCATGCACATCTAACACTGCTCGAAGCTGTTTCGAGCATGCAACAGCGTGTTTCAGGCACAAAGACTCGCGTTTCCAGCGTTTGCAGCGTTCGGCATGAGGTCTTAGTCGCAGTTGAAATGTCAAAACAAAAGCGTACTACATAGGGAAGCCGCTCTTTGAGCCATGAAGGAATTATGCTAAATACTCATGAATTGCAGAAGAATTTCTTAAATGTCATTAGAAAACAAATTTTTATGAAATAATTAATTATAACGACTGGAGTGATTAGCTCCGTATTCCTAAATTTTTCTTATCTTTCTATGTTAGTTATCACTTTATTTCATTTATTGATTATTATTCAGCGTCTGGCCAGGTTACAGTCTAAATGTTGCATTATATTCCATTTTGTAAGTCTATTTCTCTGACTTATAATTCTTATAATTTCTAATTAAGGTCCATTGGCATCCTTTGAGATGACCTGACATTCGCTGATGCGGATTACTGCGGATTACTGCGGATTACCGCAAAAGATTGGAATTAGCAAGATTAAGTAGGGGGAGGGGTAAGAAAGAGTTCCGGATCTCATCAACACGCCTGTCTCTGGTAGTAAACGAAGAGAGAGAAAGAGCGGAAGCGTATGACAGGGCATCTACTTATGAAAGAATTCTGGGTGAAACGACCTCGGGCAACCCCGCCCATGAAAATATTCGTGTAATAAAAGGATAAAGGATAAAGAAGTCGGCGTCTTCAATACCTTATGCGGGCATGCGCCGAACCCACACTACTTCATCGTCGAAGAGGCAATTGTATGCGTGCAAGCCTATCACAGTGACTTGCGGGGGCCAGCCGTTTACTAAGTCAGTGCTTTTATCCTCCCAGATTAATCTGGTACCAATTTACCGGCCCGGAAGGTAGAGGGCTTGGTTGGCCCAGGGTGGGTTTGAACCTGTGCTCGATCCGGTCATAGCGGCACCTCATACCACTACGCCACTCGTCCTTCGTGGAATAAATTTTGGTAATTGTTGTTGCATAGGCTACAACAGCTATCAGTAGGAGGACGTTATGGGCACCGCGAAATTCAGCGCGTCCATTCAAAAAATTCTAGAAGAGCGAATTTTGAGCACTTGCCAGGAAGCTCACGCAGAAGAGTTGGGCGTCAACGTGGAATTCTGAGGTAAAAGAAAATAAAGAGCGAAAATGAGCGGGGTTGTGTGATAAGGCATCTGCTATAGGAAGAATTCTGCATCCTGCCCATAAAAAGGTTCGCGAAATGATTCTGGTGCTTTTGGGGTAGGAACGAACTCCGCCAATTAGTCCACCTTCGCTGGTAACTGGTCCTTTCGCAATATTGGTGCATGTCATTGCAAGGCCAGTAGTCCGCGGAGGCAGTTGAAACTGGAGGAGTTCGTTCTCCTACCCGTGCTTTTGCATGCATCGCTACAGCAGTAGCAATGCATGAATAGCAGAAAAAAAAGCACCGTTAACTTCAGCGCTCTCACCTAAAATGTTCCGTTGAAGGGGATTCCAGGTACTTTGGCCAGAAAACCCAAATGAGTTTGAGATCAGGGCTAGAAAATGACTTGGCTTCGGGAAGGTGGGGCCGTGACTCAATTAAGGCTAGCTAATGATCAGAGAGCACTCGCGCGAGAGAGACGCAGGTGCGTCGCGGGCGCAGCGTCGATCCAACTTCCAATGGAGCGAAACTACACCCTTTCTGACCACTTGATTAACCTCAGAGGGGAGGGGGGAGCCAACATGAACGATAGGTTGTGCCAGCCATATGCGCTGCGTGTCAAATCTTTTTCAAATTCCATATTTACGCTATGATGATATCTCGAACTTGGAAAAAAAAAACGTTGAAAGCTCTGTATGCCCTGATTCTTACTGTTCGACACCATTTTCAATCGAGTTTGGAACATAGTAGATTGAAAATGGCAACATACTAGATACAGCTTTAAAAAATAAGACTTTATGTGCGACATATTGACAACCGCAGGAGTACGGTATGCTTATTGCCAGTTATCGTTCATCTTGGCATACACCCACCTCAAAGGCGTTCATCTGGGCCTTCTCAATCGAGATACCAAGGATCGATGCTACTTCTAACTATTAACGCTGAGGGCAGCCTGACCACTCCGCCGTATTTCACAAAGATAGTTTGCTCTCACAACGTATGAATATGGTAAGGTAAAGGTCACTGCGACTGCCTGCAAGTCCGGTGGTGTTGCTGGCGTTCGGATGGGCACATTGCTGGCCGCTCGCATGGGCAAATCTATTGCCGAATGGTCATGGTAAGGGCCGCATGAATTAACATCTCCGCTGGGGAGGGTAACGCAGCTTAATTAATGCTGGCTCTGGATATCTGAATTTTTTTCTGTCCATCCATCCGCGAGTGTTTTTGTTATCCTTTACAATAAACATATTGAGCAGGAGCGAGAAGTTATATAAGCCGCTTTTCCAGCTTTTTGTATAATCCCCAGATGATCCCTGGCTGACCGTCTTACATTTAAGTCATTTCTTCTTCGAAGTCAATGAAAACATCTCAAGTCGTACTGAATAACTAATCCAAGGGTAGGGAAATGAAAGCCGCCAGTTTGGGCTGCTTCCGCGGACTAACTGCAAAAGGATCACTTGGCCGCCAAAGCGGTTCAGACTGGCGGCCTTCGTTCCCCTACCCCTAGTCCAACAGTGCTAAGCATGTTTCTGATGAGAACGATTGGTACGAAGTCATAAAAACTGTGATGAGCCACAGGTCAAAAGTTGGGGCTTATCGAACATCTCAATATTTTGATAACTCATCTGTTCTTATCAGAAACATGTTTAGCACTGTTGGACTAGATAACCAGTTTTCGGATTGTTTTCATTTACTTTAAGGGTAGTAGAAAGTGCGGACGAATAGACAGCAAGAAATCCAGATGTCCAGAACTTCAGAACATGAAGCTTTCTTTTGAGTTGCGATCCCCTCCCCAGCGGGGATGTTAGCATGCGGCCCCTAACATTGCCTGTCGGTTAAGCGGCACATTCACTATGCGGCGCACGCACGTAGCTTTAGAACTATGTCGCCCTTTTGTGCGCAAGCGCCTGAAGGAAGGCCGTTCGCACGGCTGGGATCCCTGAGTATGCATAGCTGATGCGACAAGTAACTTTCGTGAGCGACTGGAGGTTTGTAGAATTTTTTGAACAAAGATCCGATTTTTGAGCATATGAAAACTGCTGACTTGTATTCCTGACTTTCCGTCATCAATCTTGCAAGACTGTTCAAACACCATGCAGGGCTTGCTTTGCTCTAACGACTAATAAGTTTGATACCTTTTCATACCTTCTTTGCCGCTTTACGCAAAAGAATGTGCATTATTTTACGTGTCAACCCAATATTTAATAAAGTATCCCCTAGAAAAAATAACGCGGCATGTTGTTGCGCTGAATCAGACAGCAAGCCTTTAACGTCTGAAAAAAAACCAGTAGCTCTTCAACTCATGTGATTATTAGAAATTTCGCAATTCTTTTCAAAAAGCCTCCCCCCCCCCCCCCCTTCCCTCGGTACGCCGCTGCCACTCAGTGATGCGATAGACACGGTTATCTGGATTGATGGGTGTCATACCTGATGTACGGTATTAGCAGCATCTGCAATATCACCACCTCTCAAAACCATCTGCGTAAGCGATTCCAGCGCAGAACTGATTTCACAGAGACTTGCGATGAATTGAGCAGCACCAGCAAGGGGCTCATTGAATGCGCTGATTGCATTAGCATCGCTGAAAACCACGTTTGTCGAAGAACAGAACATTGAAATAAGCGCACTTTACAAAACTTACTCTGCTATATACCTTCGCAAAGCATTTCTGTCGGTAAGAGTTGGCTCACGAATAACCTCCTGTAAGCGTTCATATGTATTCACCAATATATCTGCACTAGTTGCAGCTTGTTCTCTGGAAGGCGACGACGCAGCAGTGTTCGAGTTACTGTCAGCTTTTTCCAAAACCTAAAAGGTTCGATTTTGCTGCCATCAGCATAACAAAGCACATTCCAGAGTAAAACCTTGATTGGGGGTACCAGATCAGGTACTGCAGCGCGAAGAAATCTATAGTGTTTAAGAACACATTCTGGCAGAAGGGATACTATTGGCTCGTAGTTAGCTGCTGCATTTAATATTAAAACAAGTTTGGCAATATCTGCAATACTGATTTTTGTGAGCGTTGTGAGCGTTATTCATTCTGAAAAATAAACTCACAGTAAACGTCATCGATCTGTTGTTCTCTCGTATCATAAACTAGATGCAAACCAAGCAGTTCTCTGACCATTCCATGAACGAATACGGCATGACGCATGCCCACTTTGCTCAAACATCTGAGCCAAAATCAAATCACAAACTAAGAAGTACAGTTCATTTATAAAATCGTGACAACGGATTTTACTGCGTACTTTGCGCCCATAGGAGCATAAAACGCTCATACAAGAAGGCATCACCTCAACGTTTAGCTTAGACAATCCCAGTGTCCAAATATTATCATACGTAAGCAAAAAACCATTGGACTAAGATGAAAACCAAGAAAATGCAATTTTCGGAAGTGGTATGCGTGTCGCGCGCGGTCGCGCCGTCGTCACCATTTCAAATGCCCTATAAGAAAATCCATACCTGTAAATACTATTTTTATCGGCTGGAAAGCGATGCAGACAGTTCAATAGAGCTCTAGCACAAATCCGCATACATTCTGCATCTGCGAATTCAGCTTTCGTAAGCAGTTCACGCAAGGCTTGTCGTGAATCTATTATGGCATCCTAGGCGACAGAATTAAAAAATTGAAAAGCATGCTTAATGAGATTGAGCTAATCACTGCGCCGTTTAAAACTTTTTTACAGTAGAGTAAATTTTCTACTTTGTACAGTTTGCGGTGCTAAAAAATGCGGTGAAATTTGCGGGTAAACGGACACTCTGCCATTCGTTGCGTACCAGCGGCGTTCCAAAATGGCTCGGCGTACCCATACCCACGCTGCAGCGGCGTAATATATTCCGCATTTAGCATACTAGCGCGTTTCGTAATTAGCTCTACCAACGGCGTGCTTTGTGCCGAGTGGCTTCCCATTACACGCTCAGTAATTATCTACGGGCGCGGGCGTACCCATATGGGATAGACGCCGTGGTAGGGTTCTCAGCTATTGAACGTAAAATCTACTGGACTTAGGCTTCATACATACCTGACGATAGAGGTATAGCGGGTATTGGCGAATGGCTGCTGTCTACGCTGCTTCTAGCTGCCGGAAGCTGCTGGCATGGGTGCATTTTAGGTACAAGAGCGAAGTATTATTAGCCCTCCCACTGATCCAGATTGGCGGAGAAATGAATTGAGTGAATCTCATCGCTGGAGATCATGAATCATGAAATAAAGCCCACTATTATTACTATCATACTTTGTTTGTAATAAACACACAGCGCACGGATGCTTCATTTACTAAAGCAATTGACAGGTTTGACAGATGTTAATTTGAATGACAACAATTAAACTAGGTCTATTCACTACCGTAATGTATAAGTAGGCCAGCGACATCCTAATATTTTCCTTGATAGATATCTGCCTCTGACTGTTCATCGTACTCTATTTATATTGATTTGATTCCAAAGGTTTTACGGATTTATCTCGTTCAGATTGATTTGTTCACCTATGCATTTGTATTTTTAATCGTCTCGCAAAATTGTCATAGCTCACTTATCGCAACAAATACTCTGGAAATCCTTTGAAAACACAAAAAAATGGTATCAGCTGATAGCAGCATGGAGCAGCTGAGAAAAGCTCACAAAAAAGAGCTTCATATCGCATAGCAGCAAGGAGCAGCCACGAGCAGCTGGGAGCAGCAGGGAGCAGCTAGAAGCAGCGCAGCGTCGCTAGCTACAGCGGGTCTGTTTCGCGTTGGCTGCAGCAGCTAGAGCAGCGTCGCTTGGCTGCAATCGATACGTATGAGAAGCGTTGCTGCTAGCAGCGACACATCGTCAGCTATAGCTACCCATCGTCAGGTATGTATGAAACCGTAGATAGATTTCGACATTCTATACCTGTATTTTATGCATAGTCCATGGCCGTTATCTTCTCCCACTCTTTGATCGAAAACTACCATCACAAACAAGCACCCATTACCCGACCGGATGCTGTTCAAACGGTAGAACGGCTGCCGATCAGAGCTAGGAAGATTCATGAGAATTCCCTCATACTGCGCCACAGCACTGTGACTGCAGCGTACGCCGCTGCAGTCACACTGAGAATACGCACATGGCAGCACACGCTGTTCATCAAATGTATTTCTATATATCTACTGCTCGTTCGTGTTCTCCGAGAGTATTCCTTCAGAGTTTGCAATCTTTTTCTCTTTTAACGTGTCTCATCGTTGATCGAATGTTTCTTCATTCATTTTGAATTCGTGTCCCTCGACTTTTGATTTTGCACAGTTTACATCACAACTAACTGCAATATGCATAATCTAAGTCCAATATTTGTAGGTGCTAAAAGTTTTTTATACAAACACACCGCTTGATGAAGGGGTTTCGATGAAAGGACAAAAATTTTGTACTTCATGAGTAGAAATAAACAAAATAACGCACTTAAGTCATGACAACAAACTGGAGCGAGATAAGTTCCGTAAAATCTTTTAGTAATTCCACTGCGACTGCAGCGGTGTACGCAGCGCACGCGGCATGCCGCCGCTTCCTGCGGCGCAGTATGAAGGAACCCTAAGTACTCCAGGTGAACTAAGCCGGAGACTGTGCTTCACCGCTTGCCAAAATTAGTGGAATATCCCGCAAAGTACCAAAGTTTGACAAGATATTTTCTGGTCATCGCACTGATTTATTATTTGAACAGTCACTAGTTCAATTATCGAATTTATAATCCAAATGGAGCGCAACTAACGTCTAAGCATTTCAGAACAGTCTCCAACTGTTCTTTCTGCAGTTCTCCATGCACAATGAGTGGTGTTAAAGCAGCGATCGCATCAAGGCGAACCTTAAATACGGTGCAACAAAATAGTTATACGAACGACCAGCAGACATGCCTCAACAATCTCATCGTTGAACATATCAGACAAATGATCCAGAGCGGTAGTAGCAAATGCTGGCCTGTTCGCTGCCAACTGACCAAGTGAATGAACAGCAGCTCGTCGGACAGCTACAGACAAAAATGTGTTGATTGATGCAAATAAATGAATTTTATCTCACACATGAACTCGTCTTCCAGTGCCGTAACAAAGGCACCACATGCTCCACGAGGAACTATGCTTCCAGATTCATCACTTGAGGACGTAGTAGCCCCACTCGGAGGGCAACGAGCATTCAGTTCTTTCCCAGATGACCAATCCGAAGCGTATCTGCAAAAGATCGATCAGAAAATATCAAAATCGAAGAATTTAGTTACTGTTTATGGCGTGACTGATCATGATAGTGAGACTTCCAGCGTGACTCTCGTTGTTGTGGTGTTTGCGTGATGGCAAATCTCGACTGATGCACTTTTTTCACCTGCTCTCTTCCACTTGCATCCTACACTGAACAACCGTCTATGTGCAAATGAGCATATAGGCACTACCTGTACGGTCTTCATCATCTTCTTGTCAAGCGTTTGATCAAGAAATGCGTCAGAAACAATAGAGAATTGCCCCAGTATTGTAGCTGCTTCTGTTCTAACCATGACCTGAATGCTTGATGAGGCTATGACACAAAGTGACTTATGATGAACCTCTTGGTCATTGACAGCATCACAGACGACGGAAAATGCATCATCGCAAAGCTGTAACTTTGTGTCCGTCGTGTTCGAAAAAGCACTGGTGATCAAACTGAAAGCAACTTTGAGAGAAGAAAAATCATAGTCTAGAACGATTGAAACACATACAAGTTCGGAATCCTGTTGGCGAAATAGAGAAGTAGGCGTAAAGCAATGATTCGCACTTGTCTATGGGAGTCACCGACTAACTGAAAACAAATAAGAACGAAATTAAGAACTAGCCGCACTTCCGCGTTTCAGTCGCCAAGCAATCTCACAATTTGCCGAAAGCCAGAAATCCTACACTCACAGACTACATATGTGAGTGCATAACATAGTGTGTATGATTAAAATAGATAGAATGCTCTAGCCTTTGTACATATAAAATGCGCTTACCATGTGTTAAAATAAATGGACAGTCGCTAAATCGCGTCCCGACTGAAACCGTGAAGTATGCCCTAGGTCCAAGACTGCTGCAACGTATGAGGAAAGCTACCTAACTTAGCTCGGCCTTTTGGCAAGTGACATAGATATTCTGAATCAGCATTTGAAGCTGATTCAGAATATGTATGTCACTTGCCGTAGTATGCTATTTTTAGCTGCGGGCACCATTTCGAAGCGAGTTAGATTAGCTAATACTTCTCGGTACTTGACAAGATTAAGTTCACAATGTTCTTATTTAATTGACCTGAGAGCAATCAGCCGAAAGTTGTACGGGAGTGATCCCCTGATTTCGATCAAGATCAAGAAGTCTATCGATCGAAGTAATGGGATTTTTTGTGCTAGTTTCGGCTCAATAAAATTTGCTGGAATAGCAATTAGCTAATGCTGCAATTAGTAGAATAACCAAAAATCGGATAAAATCGCGGCTAACGAAGGCGCATACTCCTGGCATACCAGTGGCGTACCATTCTCCTACCAGCGGAGTTCCACAGCGTACGAGCGGCTTGCGAATGCCCCACTAGCGGCGTTTGCGTATTCCACTCAAATGAGCATCAAACATCGGTGGTATGCAACGAAAGTCAGAAAAGGTGCGTGTCGTCAGCCAGGAAAAAATTTTGGTCTTTCAAAACTTTCGCGGGCCCATAACCCCGAAATTTTAGAAAAAAGGGGAGTGGCTTCAGCCACGCCCCCTTTTCAAAAATTTTTTATAAGGCTATGAATTTTCAAAATTTTTGAAAATTGTTTTAATTACTTAAAAGTATGAACAGGTTACTTGCACATTTTCATGACTCTTGTAAGTAATTATCAAAAATTTCGCGATCCCCCCCCACTCGGTACGCCACTGGTGCTGGGATATCAAAATAACATCAAATCCAGTCTTTGATGATGCCGTGATGCTATTAAATCGATGAGTACGCAAATTTTGCGCAGAAAAAAGTCAACAGCTCGCTCCAGATTGATGCGCTTTCGTTCATAATAGCAAAGTTGGAATCAGCGTTTCTATAATTTAGAATATATAAGTCTCTTTCCAAAAGGCCGGGCTAAGTTAGGTACCTTCTCTTGTCAGAAACACAACAGCATTGATAATGCTGGTACAGTCGACGTCAATTACGTACTCCCTTTCGCATGGGACCTACGCATGCGCAACGCAAGGGCCCTGCTCGCGAACCGCCAATCGATAAGGCCAATTTGAATGCCCGAGCCATACGCGCGCGAACGTGGCGCGAAACTCACTGCGCTTACGGAAAAGGGAGCACGTGATTAACACAAACTGTAAGCGAGTTTGCAAGCTAGAGATAGTGCAGCTGTTTGCAGCGAAAAATTACTGAATACAAATCAAAACACTTACGTTTTTAACAGTGCCATAAGCCTGAACAGTGAGCCCATCCTCCACTTTGCTCATGATTGCTAGTCCTTCCGTAGCCGAAAGACGTACCCTCGAATCCATGTCTGTGGTCATCTGACAAAGGAGCTTTTCTAGAACCAGCAAAGATGTAGGATCCGGTCGTCCTGGAAACGCGATTTTTCCTACATTCTAACATGATCAACAAGGAAGTTACTAACGGTTCATGACTCTGGCCACATGAAATCCTATAGCTGCGCATCGACATAAATGTGAGGAGGAATGCAAAGCACGATCGGCACACCGTAAAGCTCTAAAACACGAGTAAAGCCTAACGTCAAAAATCATAAGGAACGGTACCTTATAGGTATTGAGTTAAAGGCTACTGCACCACTAGTGAGCGCTTCTGTCAACAATAAAAGCAAACCTTCATCCAAGTATGATCGTGTAAACAAGCTGCAATAGATAAAGGGTATTTGACCATTGAAATTATGAAAGTATTTTCACAATCTTTGTGAGGAGGACAAGCGGGACAGCGGTATAAGGCGTCGCTTTAACCAGGTTTAATGTTGGACCTCGCCACTGGGTTAGCCAAGACTCTACTCTCCGCAGAGACTGGTACCGAAGAAATCTGGGAGGATGAAAGCACTAACTTGGTAATCGCTAGGCCCACAAGTCATGGTACAAGCGCGCAGCATTCAATAGCCTCTTTGTCTATGATGTAGAAAGCGCTCGGCGCATGCATGCAGAAAGTATTGAAAACGCCAAATCTTTTTTTATCATTTTTAATCTTTGTGAAGATCAGCTTGACCTGGTAAAAAATTCTACGGAGCGTAGCTAAAGCCACACCTTTTCTGGATTACAAATATTAACAATAGAATTGTAAAAAATTTGAGTCGTCCCTCCTTCCCAGCTAGATTTCCAACGAGAACCACTGGTAAAAAAATTATGGAAAAGGTAATGTTCATCTTTTCTTGCAACTCACTTCGATTCCTTCGCCGATTCAGAAAGCAACCGTTGAACAACACTGTTACGCAGTAAACTGTCTGCTTTTTCCATAACACAAAGAAGCATTCTACAACATAATCGCAAAATCAGGAAACTATAAGCAAGAAAAATACCTGAGAAGCTGTTTTGCAATCTGATCGTAGGTGGTTACCGAAGCCGAAGTGATTATGAGACTAACTATTTCAGGCAAGTCCTTGTTTAATGTAGGGAGGTGCTCGACTGAGAACTCTCGAAGTAGGATGGATGCACTAAACTCATTATGATATATGTGAAGAATCATTTTTCTATACATCGCCTACTATCATATTTGTACTAGTTTACAAGTAATGTACTGTACCTTGAACTATAGATGACAGAATACTTCTCCAACCTAGTTTATATCGGTCAACTATATTCGAATGACACTTTCTCACGGAGCATATGAAAGGAAGTATAAACTCCTAACTTATTCAGCAATCAATCTACTTATCCAAACGTATAAATAGACCACACTGACTCAAAAAATCGTGGGTACTTTGCCTGAAGCATTTATCTGGCATGCTGATCATTATCTAAATGAGTCAAATAAGCTTGTTCAAAACATTGCGTTCCAAGCATGGCCACTACGATCATCACTTCGGTAGCACCCAGAATGATTCCAAAAGTGCACCCGCTTTGTGGTATTTCACTGCGTTAACTGCGCAGACACTCTCCATACTGAATCAGGATTTGCCAGGCCCCAAAGTTTCGAAGGCCAAGCTTGAGCGAAATCACGATTTCGTCAATGGCCTTCCCAAGTTATACGCTGATCTTGATTACCACACCAAAAAGTGCAAGTCATTTAGTGAGGGTAATAGTAGCTGCACGGAGTGGAGCCTGAATCAAAGTCAGGCTAAGGTCGAGATCATGGTGCTGCTCATGAAAAACATAAAGGCTGCTGCATGACGAAGGCGCAATACCTTCGGGCGCGAACGCGGCTTTATTAGCCGCAGAGAGCATGAGGTGCGGGATCTACAATGGTGAGAATACGCGCGCATCGCGTTCCGCACGCTCAACTAATATCGTCATTGCGCCTTCGTCATGCAGCAGCCTTTACTTCGGCTTTCTCGTAGGATTACGGTAGTTGTACGGTATAAGTCCTACATGAACTTACACTGAGGCGACAGCTACAAATCTGTATATCCGTGATCTCCGTAATCAATCCCCCTACGCGAAGTGTTGCAAATTCAAAGATTTTGACTTCGCTACTGCACACCTATCTTGATTTCGGAAAAAGACATTACTATCTGGAAAGAGTATAACTTTTCATAAGCTCTTCAATATGCGACAGGCCGGACGCGCCATGCAAATTCGGGGGCAGGTGCTATACTTTAATATTCGATTTTTTTCCGAATGATCGAATATGTTCGAAAATCAAAAATATCGTATGATCGAATCTCGAATATTTTCAAAAACTAAAATTTTCCAATATCCGAGCATCGAATACGAAAGTCAAAAACTTTAAATATTCGATTATCGACTATTTTCAAAGTGTGAAAATTGTCGAATAATCGAATATCGAATAATTTCGAAACGGGAAAATCTCGAATGGGCGAATACATTTGAGAAAAAAAAAGAATAAACGAATACTTTGCATCGACTCTGTCGAGAACTCAAACAAAATTTGACCGAATTAGCATAATGAAGGACTCCAAGTAGTGGACTTAAACAACAAACGATATTTGCTGATATAGCAATCAAAAATGTGAAGCTGTCATGTAGTTATTCGATTACGCGCAAATGTCGAAAAAGCGAATATAAGTTTTAGAAGTAGATATTCAAATTTTAACATATAGTCGAAAATCAAAAAATTCGAATAACCGAATAATCGAATAAATTGGAAATTGAAAAATTTCAAATTGCCGAATATCGAACATATTCGAGATCCTGAAATTTTCGAGTAATCGGATTTCGAATAAACTTTATCCGAATTTTATTCAAATACTCGAATATTTACTCGATTCAGTCCAAAATATAGTAGGTACCGAATACTACCAAATCGTAATCATCACGGTAAAGATTCTGCTCTCTTCTACAAAAAGTTTCATAAACTGATTTGATCTAGCTACGGCAACCAAGGAAATGGTGCTAGCATGCAAAATGTTAAGGTGAACGTTTAGCGTGCCATGACACCTTTAATGACAAAGGCTCCGCAAATTCCACTGATTCTAAGACAACTAAGGCCCCGGACAGACTTCACGCGATTTGATCGTCGCGACTAAATCGCGACGAGACAACTGTTACAACATCATTCCATGCCAATCAACTTGCATTTCGGTTGTGATACTTTTCCAGCCCGAAATTTTTGAATGTGAAATGAAAATGAATGGAAATGTCGGCGATTGAGTCGCGACGATCAAATCGCGTGAAGTCTGTCCGAGGCCTAACGGTGAGAAAGAATGTTGGTGATTGACAAGTTACGGATAAGATTGTATCTGGACGCAAATATAGTCTGACTTAGCTGTTCTCTCAATTAGTTTTTATTTTGATAACTTTGTCCAGTCATTCCCTTTTCACTTCTAATATTATGACAGAATGCATGAAGTCTTTACTTGTGTTTGGTTGTAAATGTTGCTCAAATAAGACTGATAGAGATTAATAGGCGAAATCATATTGAAATATAGAGGAATACTGCAGGTAGAACTCACATTTGCCTATCACCACCTTGAAGCCTTGAAAGCACATCACGGAGAATATCAACTCCACGGCGTTTCGCGAGTGGAAAGAAAACAGGGCGCCTAGTAACTGTACCACTTTCCAATAATTCCTCAATAGAGCGTAGTCAATCAGCATCTTTCATCAATGAAGACATAGATACCTGTTTCAGTCTCTTGATATCGGGAACGAATCCCACATCCTGTAAATTCTTGCGTTTTTTAGGCAAGCTTGTCACTGCTCGAGACTCTGCTTTCACCATAACAGCACCGATGCACGTTTATGATGATATGATATCTTTGACAACCTCGAGCGCGACTCTCGAAGATCGAAATTCGAAATTGAAGCCGCCTCGTACGCGAGATCGCACGCTACCGCAAGTGGACGAGGACACGCGCCGCCGCCTGCGCCGCTGTGAGCTCTCGTCAGTGAGGCGCCTTTTGCGCTGATTTTGCAGATATGCAGAAACACCTAGCATCATCATGCTAGATCCCATCACCACTGTTCATCGCTTTGTAATGACCGCATGGCACATCTGCTCAAAAAGGCCAAGGTTCAAGGCAATTCTACGATTTTGGCCTCATACCGTTTGAGAAGAATTCACCTAAGTGCTGCGACACGACCGCTGCGTCCTTTGATAATTGGAGTGTGTTTTTATCTCGGGACTTGGCGTTGTGCTCCAATTCCGTATCAGGTATTCTTTTCCTTGCATGAGTCGTGGACCTTTCCCACTTCTAGATGTATTTCACTACTGTTTCGGTTTTGCTTGTTGTCTTTCATTCTGTAAATGTTTCATATTGTTCACTTTCCAGAGTGCAATCCTTGTGGAGCAAAATGTCCGGTGGTTGATGGCCATGTCTTATCACTTCCTCGACCAAAATGTCCTTTAGAAGCGGCGTCCCTCTGTCGGATCGACTAAACGTGGGAAAAAAAACAAGCTGGACGAGAGCATCAGAGACTACTAATATGCTCATCAAGTTTTGGTCGAGGAAGTGGCAAGACATGACCTGTTCTCGGCGCTGTTGCTCTATCGGGAGTCTGTTGACCATGCTGGTCGAATTATGCTTTGTAAACGTATTGGGTGTTTACGATGGGAGGCTCAATCAGGAATTTGTGTTCGACTCACTTTCGATGGATTCATCTAACCATCATTCTAACCTCGATGATTGCTAGACTTGTTTCATCTTAGCTTCCTGCAAAACAACGTTGTTGAAAAAAGCAAGCTGAATGTATGATCGGCTTCCAGATCCGTGTGGAGGTGTATTGCAGACTTTGTCTGATAACACGGATAAACTTGCTGAACCTCCACGTTATAGCATTGCTTTTCGTACTCTCTCGCTGGCAAAAACCGCTACGCTGTGAGTTGGCAAGACTCCACCTCCACACGAATCTTGAAACCAATATCATCGGCTTCCAGATTCGTGTGGAGGCGGGTTGCGGACTTCCTTGATTTTCAGGATAAACCCTGTTAAACCCCACGTTACAGCATTGTATTTCGTACTCTTTCGTTAAGCTTATCCTTAAAATCAGGAAAGTCCGCAACCCTCCTCCACACCAATCTGGGTACGTTAAAGCTATCTAGCCGTTCATATTCTAGAACATATTGAATTTCTGTCTAATATCGATTGTTGTCCATTCGTTGTCCGAAAAGAATAATGGAAATTCCAAAGTAAACATTTCTTTGGTGATCCGTTCAGTATTTATTTACAGACAGTGATATGTGGTGAATGGTACCATCACTAGACGAGGAGGTGTTTAGGTGGCATGACTCTGAAAAATGGGTGGAAAACTGTAAGACTGTTTTACTTCATACAACCCAGAAATCTATAATCTCAGAATCTCGGTGAAACTTCACAAGGGGGTAGGGACTTATCTGATGAACTAAACACGAATATTATGTCAACTTCGCACGATAAGGTTTCTTTCAACTCTAATATCCCTCAAGTAAAACCTTTGTGCGTTGGGCTTATAGCAGCGCTTTTCGTTAACTGAGCAAAATCACTCTTTCAACGCGTTCGATGTCAAAGTTGTAAACACCATGTTGGAGTACCTCCCCTCCTTCCGAACGAAATCTACCATATATCTGCAGGAACGCTTCCGGAAAGGCCCTCTTTTGCAAATAAATATCCTCTTCGTTCAGCATGTCAATAATTCCCGCCATAGCCTACTACAGCCCATCTTATTCGAAACTAGTGAACCAGCAATTGAAGGTGCTAGTAGCATGCGCGCGCTACGGGACCGCCACGTGGTTTCCCGCTATGTGCACATTTTTGAATTGTGCTTATAATTCTTTATATATTAGATAGATTAGATAGATTAGATAGATGTGAGCGAAGCTCAAGTCCCAAGTCGGAAACGCTCTCCAGTGATAACGGCCGTGTCGTAGCATTTAAGTTCTATACCGTTTGTGGGTCTGAACAGGATTTCCGGTAATGGGACGGGTGTAGTGCGGAAAGCGGCAAAACCCAGCGGGAGCGAGCTAATGAAAGCCACGCTTTCCATGCTCACTGGCTTGGGTCAGTTGCAACTTACTGACGCATTTCTCGCGCATATCTTAGCGCGCCAAGTGTAACAATGTACATTACGCCCTGGCCTTACCGACAAGAAAATCATCGCGATGCAATTTGTGCAGTAGGAAAACGGTCATCCGTCCTATGTATGGCGGCAAATCATGCATTCGGTTGTGCTAGCTGTTCAACGCGATGAATCGCTGACCGTGTTTTCCTAGCCCATACCTACTCCAGCAATATCGTTGCGATTTGGCCAATAGCGATATTGCGTCGCCAGTTTGAAATCAGCGACGGGGCTACATTGCTAAAATTGGGTCTCTCCTGGGTGTTTTTGGAACAGTTTTATCTTTCGACTTGTTTTTTTTTGTGGAGATGTTGAAATACGATGCATCCTTAATTGCACTTCTTTCGTGCTGTGATGCGCGTCCCTTCTATTTGCATATATTCGGAAGTCGAAAATTCGAAAATCAGTCCATAAGCATAGCACGTCACTGTAGGAGTATCAGGCTACAATCCTCAATGGGGAGCGTGCAGTCGAATCATTTCTTTTGATCGTATGTGTCATTGCACACAAAGTCCACCGTTGGCGTTTCCATCCTGGATTCTTGGAGGGAATAACCCTGCAGGTAAGTGTTTTTAATGTGTTCTCAATATTTTCTTTCATTTATAGGTACTAATTACCTCAAATTAATGTAATCGATAACAATTAGTAAGCCTCTTGCATTTCTGCAGTTGAAAACCCAGGATGAGGAGGCCAAAAGTGGACTGTGTGTGCAGTGACACACATGATCATTTGAATTGCTCTCAGACACTGGCACCGGCCGGGAGCATAGTTGCGATAGGGGGAGGGATGGATCTTACCCCCTTCACTTTGAGGCCAAACTCCCGATGACCCCCTTCACCTGGGCTGAGATTGGTATTGTACTCAGAGAATATGATAAAAATCGTTATTAAAAGGTTTTGCAGGCTAAGTACCTCTAACAACAAGTACACTCATTTTACAAAAGAAACGGTACTCATGTTTATTTATATTATTTATTTATCCTCGTAGAATTCATTTGGAGAGCAGAAAGTGAGGACACAACATCAGTCAATTTTTGAAGCGCATGAAATCCCTCATATCTCGCGACACAGAAGATCTAGAAAAAAGTCGACGGTCTGCGTCGATTCTCCATGATCTCAGCTTTCGAATGGTTTACATCATGTTAGGACTTCTTTGCTTCCCGGCTCTAAAAATCATTTGCTCCGGTAACCGATAGAAGCCAATACATTGGTGGCTGGGTGGAGCAAGCTAATAGTAAAAAAATGTGCTGTGGATTGACATCGTTATCAGCGCTAACGGGAACGCGAGCGAATGCGTCTATTCAAGCGTGCTTATCGTTATTATATGTTTATGTTTTTTTTAAGTAAAAAATGCGCTTTTGATTGACAGTTGTGCCATCATTATCAGCACATACTAAAAAAAAACTATGGGAGATTGGTGAATTTCCACACCTTCAAACAAAAACCTGCCCATTTCTGGAATCTATACTCTGTAAACCTAGTGCTGAAGAAGGTCACTTCCGTGAAAACGCTAGACTCACCCATACCTTCGATAGTCAAGAGACAGAGGCTAGAAAGTGATAGTTGTTTGAGCTCCTGCCCCTATAAAAAGTGAAGATTGTTTAAAAAAAAAGATGGAAATTTAGAGACATGAATTAAACCAGGAAACTTGAAAAATTCATATAAAGCAGAGGTTAGCACATCACCAAATTTGAAAAATTAACTTGGTGGTTTTTTACGCACAGTTTCCTCTTCAGAATTGCCGGTTAAATTGGGTGGCAACAAGAACAAAGTTCTCTTCCAATCAAAAAAGCGTTGTTTAGCTGTGGCGGTAGTTGGGAGACCGAAAGACGGAAAACTTGTCAACAACTGAATGAACATGTTAAACACGTCTAAAAAGATATATTGCACATCGACGCTAATGTGGTTTTTGATGCGTCCTTTAAATTTTCACCCCCGCGTAGTTGTTTCGTATCCTGCGACGTTGTCTAGATTATTCCGCTCATCATTTTGAGCAAGTATCGTCCAAGCTGGAGAAAATTCGTTGCGAAAGCATTGAAGAAGAACAAGGTAAAGAAAAACGCACTTTTTAGTAATTTTCACAAAAAAACCCGGCATAAGCAAAGAAGTAAGCTCGGCGACGTTGTCTACATCACAGACAGAAACAAAACCTATCGAATACATGAAAAAGCCGATTGAAAAGAGTTAAATTGAAGAAAAAACATGAGGTTTTCGAAAATGCCGTTTTTTCGAGATTTCTCGTTTGAATCATAAAAAGGAGCCTTGCGACGTTGTCAGCGTGAAAATAGAGATCAATAGCTTCAAAATGATTTATAGTTTGCTGAAATTGGGTTCGAAACAACGAAGAAAAAGGTACCAGAGCCAAATGCCCCGCGCCCCGCGTTTGGGGTAGCGAGGTAGCGCGCAGCGCGCGGAGACGCAGACGAGCAGAGGAACAAGACCAGAGCCGACGGGGCATTTGGCTCTGGTCATTGATCTCCGCGGGATCATAACGACACCCTGTAACATTATATATCGTTGTGATCCTCATGAGACGTCCAGGAGCACTGACAACGTCGCGGGTCTTGAAAATCACTCCATAACGAGATAGACCAGCATTTATGTGGCGACTCTCTGCGCAAGATTTATGCACAGTTTCTCGTTTTTATTGAACTCCAGCGGCTTTCATGAACTTTCAACGCTCAATCGCAGTCTAGAGAAAGGTCAATTGAGAATTTTTGTCCCAGTTTTCCATTGAATTTTCAAATAAAAACCTTCTTTTCAGCAAAAAAGGCCATAAAAACGCAATCCTTCGATTTTTTGAGGTTCCTTTGGATGTCACTAGTCACTGCTATATTTGCCTCATTCACATTCATCCCTATATGCTTATGTTATTAGTTATGTCATAATATCCGGGGCTTCGCCCGGGATGACTTCTGTACTTCTCTCCAGGTGAAGGTTGTGTTCTACCATGACGCTCAGAGTGAAGGTTACCAGAGTACATGGCTCTATGTATCGAAGGTATGGACTCACCTAGCTGTGGAGAATGGTTGGTTTCAATGAATCAAAAACTTTGAGGCATTCAGAAGAACAACATGTTATTAAAATATTCTTCAATGTTTTGGAAAGGTTGGCAGTTCGAAGAAGAAGCGGCAGGCAGATTACTTTACAAAATCGCAGATGACTCGCATGTGTTCCAGTTCAACAGCGAGGCAGAACGAGAATCTTACGCCGACGAATATGTTGTCGAAATTGATACAGAGTTGACCTTTGAGCGAAACTCTCTATTTCGTACATCAGAAATCCAAGCAGATTGCCTAGTCTCAATGAGAAAATGTCCAA